ACAGCGTCTTATAAATCATACGAATGACCTGGCTGGAGAACTACTCACAGCACAACAATCTACGAGACTGAGACGATGGCTTGTATTGAACCTTGACACTGGAGTCTGAAGAGCTTTACAAAATCATTCTGAGAGAGCTGTCAGTGGACTGCTTCTCAAAACGCTAATTTTCACACATGACACTATCTGATTATGGCTGTTATGGAAGAGTCGATTGCAGATAACAAGAGGAAATATATATATATATATATATATATATATATATATATATCTTTATGGGTATCTCTAACCTATATAAGTTACAGGAGGTTAGATAAATATAGGAATATTGTTTTAATGAAAATTACACGCATATCGATTGTTTGTGGTCATTTCACGCATTATTGCATCCATCGTGCTACCGAATGATAATGTTATGTGTACTCCGCATGTATGAATAATGCATGTTGCACTACTAAACCACTACGATACGACCATCACGATAAGTATATTGCAGTGAAAATATATTAGTAATTTCTATTCAATAATATAAGATAAATTTATCATGTTTGTATATTTATAGTAATATAAAATATAATGGTTGCGAGAGGTTGAAGACCGTGCAAAATGGAGAAATATCATAAGAGAGGCACGAGACACCTTTCAAGGACATGACCTTCAGTAAAGAGGTGACCGAAGAGAGGGAGATATTTGAATAATGGTTAACAATTCCAAAGAGGACACAGGTTCTAAATTCGAGTGCAAATTTTGGTATTAATATTTAAAATAGTGGACGGATCGACAATTAACTTTGTTTTCGTGTTATTCTCATATTAATTTTTTGAAGATAAAAGTTGGAGTTTCCCTCTTTTCGCGGTTGCTTCGCAAACCGCTTTTTACGAAACAAAATTGTCATATAAACACACGATGTAATATATGGTCGATTCCATGATTACGGAAGTCGACTTTACAAAAATACTAAGATAATTTTAACTCTTATGTCTTATGTCTTGTTTTCGTTCAGGAAAACACCATTAATTCTATATTGCTCAAAAATATTCCGATGGTCGCTCGCTAGAGTTGCGTACGTAGTTATTTGCTGCCATGTCATGTTAGTACATTAATCATAGATGACCGCTCCGTAAATAGGCACTCGATTCATTCAGAGCACAGCAGTATTACACTTGTCGAAATAAAAAAAACCTGCCTTACAGATTGGCACTGACCCAGATTTTTTTTATGGATGGAAATGCAAAACTTCGCTTGCGCTATCGATATAGGTTAGTGAGGTTCTGATGAAGGATGACAAGTGTGGATGATAACAGACCAGTTGGTCCATCGTAACAAATTCAATAACAGTTAGTTCAGTTAACGTTTTCCAGAAGGGGACATGTCCGAGTCAACCTGACAGGATAAATTACTAACAACGTGGCCGCTAGTCCTCATTACCACCCCCCCCCCCACAAAAAAGCAACCACAAAAAAAAATTATTGAAAGTCGCTTAAAATTTGTCGGAACAAATTCAAAAATCATGATCCTCTGTTTACCAGCAGTCAAGTAAACATGAGTACAGAGGGCCCACCATGAAATGTTTTTCGAAATTTCGGAGCCAAACGAAACAGAAATTTGATGTTAAAATTACATAATACATGCCGTTTGGAAATATTAAAAATGTTAAAATATTGTTCCTTTGGACTTTTATGATAGGATGTATGACGAACGAAATGTTAAACTCCATTTATTGGGTCCGATTTTGGTATAAACAAAAACACTTAATTGAGTCCGAAATTTCGTAATTTCATTTCATAGTAGACCCGCAGTCCACACACAAGTGCGGCGGGTTCAAAGGAGTTTTCACTAGCGAACCGTCAAATTGTGGAATGAGTTCCTTATAGAGTTTGTCTCTAGAGATCACCTGACCGTCTGGGGTTAAAAACGATAAAAAAAAATTGAGATGCATGGATACAATTACCGTGACAGCTGTTCGAAGAATATATTATTCGTTTACCAATCGTCTAGAGGGTCATGATAGGTGTCTAAATGCGTTATAAATAACTAATTATTATATTATAAACATCATTAAAGCCGGACATAGCTCTCAACTACATCAATATCGTATGATCATAACACTTACATACATATACATACATATCTGTCACGCCTGTCTCCCATTAGGGTAGGCAGAAACAAATGGAACGCCAAATGCTTCGATTCAAACAAACCGACACACATAACACTTTTATGAGACTTATAATATAATACATATACAAAGCAAAGCCACCATTCCATTAAAAAACAAATAAGCACCGAATCGATTTATGTTTAACTAGCCTTATCCAAGTTTGGATGGATGTACGAAACATATTCGTTAGTACAATACGCAATGATAACCATTCAGTCCGCTAACGAGCTATAATTACCTAGTTCTTTCCACTACGCTTTTAGTTTTCACTACTTTCGCCGGCCATTTTTATTTATATATTTTGTTCACTACCAAGTGACAGCAAAAGTGGTTTTACTGACTGTTTTTTTTTTATCAAAAACCTAAGTTATTTTTAGGAATTCCTAAGGAAATATTCTATAGAAAAAAATAACAGAATGCATTACAAAATTCTATTTACGAGTTGTGTATTAATAAGCTGTATTTTTTTTGATGGGTGAAAATGGTATGGTAACCCCGCCTGCGCTAACGGGATACACTGGCGGAACACCAGTGAAGGGTGATAGATGAAAATGAAAACAGGCTAGTTAGCCCATCATGATGAATTCATCAGGAATTAACCATGATAGTTTCCAGGGAGGACCACGTGGAGTTCGACCTGGTTGGGTATATTGCTAGCAATGGGATTCCCAGTCTCCATTACTAACAATCCTTTTCCCCCTCATAAGCTGTATTGGTTATTTATAAAAAGATTACTTCAGTTTGATCTATCAATAAATAACAAAATTAATGGAAGCTTTTCCTAAATTTAAACAGGAAAAGGAGACAATGGTACTATGCGGATAAAGCAGTGGTAATCAGCTAGTCTACCAAATTAAAAAATCATTGCAGGTGCATACTTAATACATACATATCTGTCATATCTGTTTCCCATTAGGGTAAGCAGTAACAATGGAATGCCAAAGAGCCACACCCATGTGTACATATTTCTTAGAAATATTGGAAATGAGAAGCTAATGATCTACCAGATGGGTAGTTATGATGGTCATATATATGATAACCATGGACAGCAATTTTTACAGCCTAGGCTTACGTAACATAGCTGTGACAGAGAAATTTGTGAGATGTTATGCCTCATAACAAAGATTGCAAAGCAATCTTCTCTTTGCCAACAATATATTTAAAACAATGTACACCCTGTGTAATGTTCATATAGGTATAATGATTGTAGACAGATAGATACTTTTGTTTCCTTCAAAAAATTACACTAGTGATAAAATAAATCAAGATATTCAACTAATCGTTTTTTTATTTGTACTACTTTACTTGACATCGTTAGACTGCGTCATTTATTTTACTTCTTGTTCTACATTTTAGTTAAGTTTTATAAAAAAAAAACAATAATATTGAAATGATTATTTACCAAAATGGATATTTATAAATAACTTTATATATATGTAAAATCAGGTTTTGAATAACGATATACCTATTATCAAAATAGTATCACTTAGCACATCAATTAAATTGTGTAAGCTATAACATAGCTTTCTATGTTTAGAGAATGGTCCGCTTACTGACTAGAATGTATTTGCATAACAAATAATGGGTTCAGTGGATCACCACCGATAAGAATACATATTGTCCAACTGTGGGCTGATAAGACATCAGTTGTCCCTATTCAGTTCATCTAGTGTAGTGGATGGTAAAATTATTAATTTTCTACCTTTTAAAATCGATTGTAATCACCATTTGACTTGAGCTAATGACCTATTATGTCATAGACATGTTTAGGTAAGTAAATTTTTAAAAATGCCTTGAACTTAAAGAGCGAAAGCAGCCTGTTACTTATTTAAATATATTACGGAAGAGTACATTTTTTTTTATAATTATATTAATGTTTTATATTCCAACTGTGTTAAGAAGGGCAATAACTAATTGAGTAACTGCCTAATAAAGTAATGAATTATAATGAAATAAAACAATATTCTAAACCTAACATGGGAAGAAATGTACACTTAAATGTCTTCCTAAAGATATGTATTAATATTATTATGTATAGATATATACATACATATGTATAGATAAATTATTTATTTTCTTTTCTAATATGGTATACAGTTATAGTACTTCATATTATATAGATTCATATCACAAAGAGGTATATATCTTTTAAATACTATAGAAAATATTTAAATTAATTATATTTCAACACCACTAAAATAAGAAAAAAGAAAGTGCATCATTATATTTTTATAATAAACATATGAAATCTGTAGTTATTTAGAATAGAAAATTTCAGTGATTCATACTAAACACAAAAGTGATTTAATTATAAATTTTACAAAACAAAATTTGCATTAACATTTTTATGTAATCAAAGATTGAATTAGTCAATTCACTTATATAAATAATCAAGTTTATAGGTATAGGTAGTATCTAAAAAACAAAGTTGACTACCATGTTACATACAAAGACATTTTTTGTTTGATTTGATGGTTCAGAGATTGTCATTGTATAGTGTATCGTTTTCATTGTCATCCTTTGTTATGAGATGTAATTAGATATGATATGTTTGCAATTTAAATACAAATTTTTGTTGATTTGTTACAATAATAAATTGTCATTCACATATATAAAATACAGTCAACAGCAGTATCATATTGGTGAATATAATAAATATTTAATATTATTCTACATAAAGGCAGCTAATCAAACTGTGAATTATATATACAGCCAGCAATCCAACTGTTCAAAGTACACTGTCACAATAAAGATAAAATTGTTCAAACAAACAACAAGTGCGACGGTGCACATAACCTCGATAATCTGTGATTAATAGAATAAAAACAAGTTCGTGTACCTGATTCCAAACTCCTGTCTGCGCCCCCGGTCATTTTTGAGATGATCCGACACAAAAGTTATCACTCAAGTTGTGAGGCGAATAGCACACTTCAATCCTGGCAGACCAGCACCGTAATCCAAGCAGCAATTATAAAAAGAACCCAGTTTCAATGTCACAAAGGCAACACGAGGATGACTGGCGGGACCGCGGTAACGGGCAGACCACAGCTGTCCGCGCAACGCACTAACAACGCACGCACCCTATTCAATAATATTTTAACATTATTTACCTTCTCCCTCTTGGAAATTAGTTTCTCGATGTTTATGTCCTTCGATATCAGCCATGTTACATTTATTTATTTCGAGACTTGACTGAACATAGCGAACAAAATTTTTCCAACTCGACGCAGATTGACAATTGACATTTTAATGACAAGTTCACTAAAAAAGAAGTCGTGTCACTTGTCAAATATGTCAGGAATACGCAAAATTTATCTAGATACTCGTACATACTTATATAAATCTAGAAACAACGAGTGAAAAAGAAAATATGTAATAAATTAAATATTTGTCTCAGTGATAGATTACACGAAAATATTATATTATTATAAGTTATTATAAAAAATTATATTATATTCCGAAATTTTTGCCTGCTATGAATTGAGAAAATTAGCATCTGATGGTGTATCTTTCGTCTTCTTTTTACTAATTATATTTACATAAGAAGAAAGGAAGCAACCATATGATTTACAGTTTTTATTTTATCATTCCTTCTATGTAATTCCTTATTCTTAGGGTTGAGTAGTAAGTATTTCTATATGAGAATAATCTTAAGATTGTATATAGTATATCTTCTATAAATAAAATTCCAGTGTATATACCTTGCTCATATTATACTTTTTACCTTGGGCATAATACAAAGACATATTATGTTTGTATATATATATCAATTCAAATATTGTTGTGATCCAAAAATTCAAAATTGGATTAATTAAACTCATCTACTCCTTTCTTTAAATAAAAGTATTCATACATATTCTTTTGCAATTCCATAATGAATTTATAACAGAAATGTAACAAAATACGATTTTTCTTGGGTATTCAAAATCGGCTCAAAGGTTGGGTATGCAAAGTCAATCTAATTCGGCTCTTCAGCACATCACTAAGCTTAGGTGTCAAATTTCATTAATTCTACTTGTTTAACTTTTTTCTTTATTTCAATAATTTACGTCATACGTATTTACTTATGAACTAAATAGAAATTTTTATACTTATAGGTAACCAATATTTAATTTAATTTGTGTAAATATTATATACAAAATGCAGGTATGTGACGACTTAGGTCTCTTTTAACTTTAAATTAATTCAATATAAATAAGGAAATAAATGTTTCATATTTATTTTTAGAATCCAAATGAAGATACAGAATGGAATGATATCCTGCGATCGAAGGGTATTCTTCCCCAGAAGGAGAAAGAGGTCTCAGAGGATGAAATCGTGAATATGATCGAAGAAACTATTAAACAGAAACAAGCTGAAAGTATGTGAGGTTATGTCAACACCTGTTAGCTTTATTACCATTTTCTAGTAGTTTTACTATAAATCTGTGTCATTTACTGCCTACTTAATTAATTTTAGTTTTTTTATGCTACTATTGTTTAAAAGGTGCCTACTGTATCTAATCTGTTCTGCTGTATTCTACATTGGTTTTTCTATGAGTCATTTAATTTATAAGACAGGAAAACTGTTTTATTTTATTTTAGTATTACATAAATTTACTTCAATCTGATTGCCTTAGATGAGTCTTTAGGGTTTGGCTAATAAAATTCTGAAATAATTAAGTGATAAATCCTTTCCAAACAATAGTTTATTCTGGTATAACTATACCCGAATTTAGCCTCTGGAGACATCTACAAATATAAATTCAGTGGTGTGATACGGCCACTTTGTTTTTATTTCTAGAGGACAAACAATTATCAGAACTAGACTTGGATGGCCTTGATGAGTTGGAAGACTCAGAAGATGAGGCCGTGATAGAGGAATACAGAAGGAAGCGCATTGCTGAGCTCAAGAGGTTGGCAGAAAAGCCACGGTTTGGAGATGTGATGGAGGTGTCCGGACAGGACTATGTACAGGAAGTTAACAAAGCTGGAGATGGCATCTGGGTGGTTATACACTTGTACAAGCAAGGGTTAGTTCTAAATACTAAAAGTTTATTATATATTAATTATTAGTATTATATATATGTATAAAATAGTTAGTTATTAGTATTTTATGGTTTTGTTTGTGACAATTGAGAGATTAATTGATTTTTGTAAGAATCAATATCTGATATTTTGTGGATTGTATTACAAAAATTATAATAACTACAAATCATATAATTTAAATGGAAGTAATAAAATGAGGAAATAATGTTTGCAAATATATAAAATAAACCTCATAAATTCAAATTAAATGCATTCTTGATATCTGTATTTGATTGTGCTTTTATCTTATGTTCTAGTATCCAACAATGTGCACTAATCAATCAACACATGCGGCAGCTAGCGGCCAAGTTTCCATACACAAAATTCCTAAAAGCAGTAGCACAGACATGCATCCCAAACTTTCCTGAGAGGAACTTGCCCAGTTTGTTTGTTTATTTCGAGGGTGATATGAAGAAGCAGTTCATTGGACCTCACGAGTTGAGAGGCACAGCACTCACATGTGATGGTAATTTAATTTGTTATAATTATAGTTTAGCCTGTGTTTTCGTGTTTATTAATTATCTAGACTGTAAATAATTTAATTTTTGTTAACAGTAACTTTTAATTAATCTATTGTTGTTATGTCTAGGTAATTATTAAGCTACTACAGCTGTAAGCTTCCCTCAAAAATAATAAATATACTATCTATGTACTCAGGTCTTTGCCAAGGTTTTAAGACTGCAGTGTTTTCTTTTTTAAGTAGATATATGTAAAAAGATGTCTTGAGTTGGCACAAAATGTTAAAACACACATTCATAGCATATTTGAATGTAGTGTCTTAATGTAAAGGCTTTATAATCTTATTTATATTATTCTTTTATCTGTGTTTTCTTTGTACTTGCCATATTTTGTAAATAACCTTTATAGAATTTAGTCTAAAAATAAAGCAGACGAAAAATCAGTTAATTTACAAATATTTTGAATTTTGCTATGCATTTATGTGCTTTTATTTTGATAAAGATATGTTAAAATTATTTACTAAATAATCAAAATGTAAAATAAAAAAAAAAGATAATAGGTTTTTAACTGCAAAAGAGCAGCATTTCAACTTGCACTTCACATGTCAACATTAAGTAATAATTTTTTTTTCAGAACTGGAATATATATTAGGCTTAGTGGGCGCAGTGGACACCAAAATTAAAGAGGACCCCAAACCAAAAATTAAAGACAAGCTATTTGCAGATCTGGGATCTAATGATTGGTGATAAATACATTTTACCATCCTTCGATAGTATGTGTGTGTGTGTGTGTGAATGTGCGAGTGTCACTTTGCTATTGAATGCGGGTTATTGTCTAAGCTTGAGGTGCAATTATTTATTTAGTACTTATAAAGAATCAATAACATAATGTTGATATTATTATAGTATTTTTATGGAACAAAACTTCATCGATGAATGACTTCATAATAAAATGTTAATTTTAATATCATCTCTGTGTATTATTTACTACTCCATCTCGATACTTTACTTGTTTATTAAAGAAAAAAATCAACAGCTAATAAATTTCATAATAAAAAATATGATAAAAAGCCAATTACGGGTTTTCACATATAAAAACAAGATTTAACTAATGCACATGACATCGCTAGCACTTACAATCAAATTAGAGTAATAACGTTAGAAGATGAATTATCAAAGAACCACTGACTCAGCACATGCACAGATAATATAAAACTATACTAGGCACATGTCTTGCAGATTCTATCTTAGAATCAAATAAATTTAAATAAATCTAATCTATATCGATTGTTTAATCCGAGGTTGATATAAAATTTAAAATGCCGACTTTCCGAAATAACTTTCCGTATATTTTTTACGCCATATTTGACAAAACGATTTTTTTTTATTTCTACATTATAGCAAAGACATACTACAGATACTGCCTTAACATCGATTTTGTGAAACATATTTGTTAATTATACTGTACCCTGCTGTTTCGTATTATACAAACTTTATTTATGGTATTCAAACTATAAATATAGTGAGGTACTTTCGCATTTGACGCTGTTCAACTCGTGGTTCTAAAAATTATATAACTGATGACTATGTTCCCTTAATTATGCTTGATTTTCTCTAATTTTATAAAAAAAATTTTATACCACAGGTGGCAAACAAGCATACGGCCCACCTGATGGTAAATGGTTACCGTAGCCTATGAACAGCTGCAATACCAGAGGTATTACGCGCGCGTTGCCGACCCTGAAGAAATCTCTTTACCCCCCTTTTACCAAGCGAGTATATTTTGAATAGACCATATTTATCGTCGAATTACTGAATTTTCTTAAAGTTGTTCATAAATATAAAATAATTTGGTACAATTAGAATTAAAAATTGACACCTAAAGTTTTGGTGTGTATTTTTATTTATACAACTTAGAATGTCAAACAAGCTGACTTCCCACCTGATGGAAAGCGGTAACCATCGCCTATAGACATGAGCAGTATATTCAGTAAAGTATATATATGTCAATAATAAACAAATTTATTAAATTTTCTTCTTTATTCAATACAACTTATGACTACGATATCAAATAATACTATTTCTATTATTTACAAAATCAATCTTACATATTATAAAGTCATATTCAGGAATAGATGTGCCATAACTCATTAAATTTAGGATTCACACTATTTCTCGTACTAGGGTAGACAGAGATTAAATAATCATATAAAAATACATAGATTCCGCGCTTTTTAGACCGAAACTAATACTTTTTTTATACCACTGAGGTGGCAAACAAGCTTACGGCCCACCTGATGGTAAGCGATTACCGTAGCTTATGAACGCCTACAATACCAGGGGTATTACACGTGTGTTGCCGACCCTGAAGAAACCTCTTTATTCCCTTTAGAACATGCTGTAGTCTTTTAGAAAAACCTCGGCAGGAAGCTCATTCCATAACCTAAGTGTTCATGGGGGAAAACATCTCCGAAATCGCGTTGTACGCGACCATCTAGTCTGTAGGGTATGAGGGTGAACTCCCTGTCGATGGCGAGCCGTACGATGGTAAAAAGTGGCCGTAGGCCGTGGCCAATACTATGTAGGTGCTTACTTTGATTTTTTCAGTAGCATTAATAACATTTGGAGCCACTCTAGGACACACAATATATAATATATACATGTTAACAGAGATTTTAAAGAGTAACTGTTGAGTTTCTTGCGGGCTCTTCTCAACAGATAACCTTTTGAATCCTGCATTAGATTAAAAAAAAATGGCGAATTAAAAGTGCTTGTAAACAAGTGTATTTTTATAAAAATAATTTGAATGAAACTTGAAATTTCAGATTTTACAATATAGTATTATATTTAAGGTTTGGTAAAAAGTACGCCGAGGATTGTCACTCATTTGCGAGGTGCTTTAAGGTGTGGCAGACCATATTTGCATTGGAAAACATTAGTGACGGAGTCAGAAAACAATGTCCCCCTATTCACTCATAGGACGTCGTTGGAGGCGATTAAGGAACAAAATACCAAACATAATTTTTTATACAACTTAAAATGGCAAACAAGCTGACGGCCCACCCGATGAAAAGTGGTAACCGTCGCCTATAGACATGAGCAGTACCATGGACATAACAGAGTATACTGTTTCGCCCATGATACCCCCCATGCGTTGCCATTCCTGAGGACTTAGGTGTTATTCCTCTGTACCCAGTAAATTCACGCCAGTGTGTGCAAGCCACGCCACATCAGTGCAAGAGAAGGAAATCTTGCAATAAAACCTTATATCCGGCTAGCATAGTTGGTTTTGTATTTTTCATGGTCTTTTTACTTATATTCAACAGTGGTACATTAATGAATCGTTAACCCTTCTCAGCATAATTTTTTTATTGGTGAAATAAGTCAAGATGATATAATTCATGTTCAAAATTCAAACAAAATGGTTAAAAAAATAAATTTGACAGCTATGTTTTTTTTTTCTGCAATGGACATTAAAAAGGTATCGAGACACGATCAACTTAAAGTGAACTTATTCTTTTATATAATTTTTGGGCACTCAATGTTATGATGGAAATTTCCACCATTATGCAAAGAAGGGTTAAGACTAGTGGCATCTAGCCACGGTGGTGCTCAGCAGCCGCGGTGCAGGTTGATGGTGGTGACGCACTTGGCGATGCACTGCTCGACGGGGTGGCGCGACTTCATGCCCAGCTCGAACACACGCATCAGGATCAGGGTGGCGTGCTCCTGCATCCCGATAATTAGGTCCGGCAGCTTGTCCAGCACCGACTGTGTGATCTCCGGCCGTGATGAGTCCAGGCATTCCAGTATCACGTCCAGACCTGCCGGTTTTGTTTAGGTTGGTAAGATTATAATTATGGCAGTATGAATGTACAACTATGAGCATTATTCATGATGTAATAAAAAAGTATAATGTAAATGCATTTTATTAATATAATAAAAGTCATTATATTACTGAATTTTCGTTACTTTTAGGCGTAGCCCTAAATCCCGTCGACACATGACGACCCTGCATTGTCGGACGCAGTGTGATATGAAATTAGAGTGAATTTGTACAGTACAATGTCAAACTAATTATAAACTTGATAGATTTAGATCATCGCTTCCAAAGTGACCTATTTTGTCTATTCTGTCTTTGTTTCTCTTAAGGACATAATATTTATAATTGCTTGTGTATATATTGTTGATTTTATTACTTTTTTTTCACTATTTCAATTTTATATTCCTTTTTATATTAATACCCGCCCACTATGTATTTTTTATTACAACACATTTGTGATTTGTTAATCTTTATCGGGTGCCCACGATACAGGCTCGCCTAGTGTGGGGCCCATTGTATTTTGTATTTGTAATTTTGTCAAATAATAATAAATAAAATAAATAAATAGACTATGACTAGAAGTATCAGTACAGGCAACTCAATTAATATTGCTACTGGCGTATTTAAGATCATTTTAAAAAAGGGGCGTAGTCTTTTAAAAAGGCGTATGCGTAGTCTCTGTGTCTTTTTTAATGGGTGCTACTGGAATGGTTACCCCGCTTGCGCTATCGGGATACGCCGGGGGGCACCAGTAAGGGACCAGTAGGTGACGATGAAAGCAGATCAGTTCAAGTCTGTACGCATTACAGTTGAATGCTGTACTCGTGTCCAGCGAGCTTACTACGAAAAGAAATTCTGAAATTTCGGACTCAATTTCGTGTTTTCGCTTATACTTAAATCGGACCAATAAATGGAGTTTAACATTTCGTTCGTCATACATCCTATCATAAAAGTCCAAAGGAACAATATTTTAACATTTTTAATATTTCCAAACGGCACGTATTACGTAATTTTAATATCAAATTTGCGTTTCGTTTGGCTCCGAAATTTCGGAAAACGTTTCATGGTAGGCCGTCAGGGTCGTAGTGGGTACTGGCAGGGGTGGTGGACGGCGAGGCGAGGCGAGGCGAGGCGGGCGAGGCGGTACCGGGCTTGATGTCGGTGAGGGCGACGGCGGGCAGCAGGCGCGCCAGCAGGCCGAGCGCGGCGGCCCGCAGCGGCGCGTGCGCGTGCGCGGCCAGCGGCGCCGCCGCGCGCAGCAGCGCCGCCGCCGCCGCCGCGCCGCCCCACGCGCCGCCGCGCCGCCCGCCCCACGCCTCCACCTCCTGCGCACACGCACGCGGGGACCATATTACAAATACATCTCGTGTGATATTTATTTATTCACAGGAAAGAGCAAACAGATACAGTTTAGGATCACAAAACAAGCCACAAGTAGCAACAATATAGATACAAGGCGCTGTACATAAAGCAACAAAAATAGGAGTTAACAAAAAAAAAATGACAGATAAAATACAAAGTAAAAATTAATTGCAAGTATTTGATTAAAATATAACTTTCTTGTCCATACAATAGTAATTCAAATTGACTATGAATAAAACAATTATCTACTCAGTTAGTCTCTCACTAATATTATATTTTTCGAAAATAGATCTATATTAAGAGTTCCACAAATAGTATTAAACTTGTTACTAGCTCGCCAAAGGAACAAATTTTTTTCTTACTCTCAAATTGAATTGAAACAAGTTCCAAATCGAATTCCAATTTCAAATTTAGAATTAAAACAAATTCATATTTGGAACACGTTCGTGGGAGTAATGGTAAAGAGCGGCGCGGCACCTGTATGTAGTTGTGCAAGTCGTCGGGCGGGTCGCGGCGGCGCTGCAGCGCCAGCAGCGCGTGCGGCGGCGGCGCGGCCGACGCGGACGCGGCCAGCTCGCCGCCCGCGCCGCTCAGCGAGCTCAGCGAGCTCAGCGCCGGCGTGCTCCTGCACGTGCACAACACACAACCGTACGCATTCGAGATAACATACGGAAACTAAACGTAGTAAGCAAAGTAGTAGTAGACCAGAGGGAGACTTTGTACAAAAGTCGATTGCTTGGGTACATCTGTCCCGTTCGTGTTTCTACCGTGAAACAGTTGTGTTTGCATGGCTGTGTTTCGGTTTGAAGGGTGGGATATGGCGTGAATTTACTGGGTACTCAGGAATGGCAACGCATGGGGGGTATTATGGGCGAAACAGTATACTCTGTTATGTCCATGGTACTGCTCATGTCTATAGGCGACGGCTACCACTTTCCATCAGGTGGGCCGTCAGCTTGTTTGCCATTCTAAGTTGTATAAAAAAAAAAGACACCAAACGTAAACAATAAATCAATAAACATGCGTGTGCACGCGACCATCATATAAAGCGAACGCTTACATATGTTATTCCATTCGTACCATTAACCTGCCCTATAAATATGATTTAGTAAAAAAAAAAAAAGAAATTTCCACACAATTTCTAGTTAAAATTAAATAAAACCCCAAATAATTATTCCAAAATGATAAACATGATTATTAAAAATTTAATAAATTGTTTATGACGTAGTCATATACAATGTAATATAATTCGAAAAAAAAAAAATAGTTCATGCGACATGAATCATGCTCCAACCCTTCGATATATTCTGAACAATTATATGACAATTTAAAATGCATCCGCCTCTTCTCACGCGCACAGTTCGCATAATTACTGTATGTAAATGCCCCTTGTGTCGTAAAAAAAAAATGTAAACGTGATCATTGTTTATATCTATAATAAGTTTACTATTGTCATGTTTTGGAGGGAACAGTAAAGAGTATCATTGGATGACTTTACAGAATTGTTTAAAGATTATTGTTAGTACTAACGCGATTATGTCCTTGTGCGCTTGCAGTAGCGCGGCGGCGGGAGCGGGCCGCGCGGCCACGTACCGGCGCAGCAGCGCCGCCACGCGGTGCTGCAGCCCCGCCTCGCGGGCGCCTCCGCCGCCGCCCCCGCCGCTGCTCTGCTTCTTCACCATGTTCAGGAAGCACTCTAGTATCGTGTGGATCTCCTCGCTGCAACGCAAACCACATGTATTTAACATTCGAGGCGAGATTTCAAATTCGAACGTAGTAATTCGAAATTTAAATAGTGGCTAGTCGATTTTTTATTAATTTAACGCGCGAACCGCGGACCGGTCATTGTGACCGGTGTTTTAAATTCATTACTTAAATATCTCCGAAATTTGTTGTTATAGAGAGCTAAGTTTTTGTGACTTTTCATTTACCACTTCTTACTGCATGATGCGAAAAAATTCTCAAACAATGTGCGGAAATCAAAAACACAATTTTACTTTTTAAGTTCAATGACGAATAACGAACAATAATAATTTTTCACGCGCCATAATGTTCCTTTGTTTTTTTTTTTCAATAAACAGTTTTCTATTTGCATGCCAGTTCGAAATTTAAATAAAACCTATTATTAATTATCTCTTTGGTAGCCATGTTTCGAAGTAAAAAGTCATTCCATTTTTAAATTACAGGACAGATATGAGTTTACATAGTAATTTATCTGGCCGCAAAACACGACAGATATGGATTTTCATACAACTTTTGCCGGCCGCTGCCCGCGTGTATTTGGCCAGTACGGCAATAGCATTATAAGTTTGCAATCCAATTATAGTCGCGCTCAACATTCACAGAGGTGAAACAGAATACGTCGATTTATAATACAAAAAAGATTTACGTATAAAATACAAATCAGTTTACTTTCAAAGAATAGGTAGTTTTTGGAAGGCCCATATGTTTATATTTTAGAAATCCATTATTAAACTAGTAACAATGATATGTAGGCAGCGGGCGGTGGCGGTGGTTACCAGGTGTGCGGGGCGAAGAGCTCGGCGTCGGGCAGCGCCTCGAGCGCGGCCAGCAGGTGGTGGTGATGGTGGTGGTGGTGGTGGTGGTGGTGCAGCAGCGAGCCGCGCAGCAGCGCCGCGGCCAGCGGCAGCGCGCGCCCGCCCGAGCCCTCCACGCGCGACCACAGCGCGCGCACGCCAGCCTCCATGCGCCACACCCTGTCGGCCACCGCTGCCACTGTACCACCTCTGTCCCATTCGTGTTTCAACCGTGACGCAGTTGTGTTTGCACGGCTGTGTTTCGGTTTGAACGGTGCGATATGGCAGTAATTTACAGGGTACAGAGGAATAACAACTTAGTCATCAGGAATGACAACGCATGGGTGGTATCATGTGCGAAACAGTATACTCTGTTATGTCCATGTTACTGCTCATGTCTATAGGCGACGGTTACCACTTTCCATCAGGTGGACCGTCAGCTTGTTTGCCATTCTAAGTTGTATAAAAAAAAATCTACAGCTCCTAAAAACACAACTTGCATAGTAAGAATTCTATGTTCAAGTAATTACTTCATTAAGAAGTGATCAAGCAATAAGTAATTCACCCGTTTATAAATACGAATGAATCGCTTATAAATACAGCCAATAACGGATTTTATTTGTACAAACGATAATTACGATTCCAAAACGAGGTATACAAGTTAGAATGAATGTATGCAGGTAATATAAATACATGTAAGAAAAAAAAACATGTATAATAATGAATAGCCATAAAGTCAAGTTAACTCTTAAAAGCTTGATTTTTTAAATCAAATAAAAAAATATATATGTGTACGCTTTACTGTGTTTACTAATGGGAAAAAATAGTAAAAAACAAAATTAAAACGATATTTTTATATACATATTTAAAAAAAAAAATTTAGTATAATTTTTGATACTTTAGGCATTACGAGTAATCAAAATATTTAAATTTATATAACAATGAAACAATGCAAACCCCGGTATCAAATTTGAAACTTCAGGTATTTAAGGATGAATTAATATATAAAATAATTAAAATCCACGTCGCTACAGTTCAGATATTGACAGCAATGATTAAGTAATACAATTTCATGGTTACCAATTGTAAAAAAATTGTGTAACTCTTAGTAATAGGCTCTAACTACCCTATTAACAGCAAATTACCTCATCAGGGGGGAGGGGGGAAAGGGATTGTTAGTAATGCAGACTACCAGTCCCATTACTAGCAATATAATGTCAGGTCGACCTTCACGTGGTTCCCTTCGGAAACCGTTGTGCCGAATTCCAGGTATGTTCATCACGATGGACCAACTGACTTGCCTTTCCATTCTCACCTATCATCCCTCACTGGCGCCCTGCCAGCGTATACCGTTAACGCAGGTGGGGTTACCATTCCATTATCATCCATCTTCAAAAGCATCTTCGATATACGAGGGTAGAGATTAGAATAAAAATTGGCAAGTTGTACAAACTTGGCAGTGTGGTCCTTGCTGTGCGTGTGCTGCGCGGTGGTGGAGGCGATCGCAGTGAGCAGCGAGTGTGATACGCGGTCGGTGGCGCTGGTGGTGGCGGCCGCCGCGGCCGTTAACGAGCACGTCGACAGCAGCGGAAGCCGCTGCTGCGGCCGCTCTGAGCACTGCAGCAGCATTTGGTGGATCCTCGGCACCTAGTGTACAAACAAAGGTTTTAAAGAGAGAAAAAATTAGAAGAAGTTCACCGAATAGAAGAATCGGAAATTTGTCTGTCTCCAATTGCTCCAGTTGGGAATAAATCGCAGAAGCAGCGCCACGCCACCGTGTCGAGGAGGGCGACCTTTGTACCTTCATGTAGAGCAGCAGCAGCATGAGCGGGTGGTGCGCGGCGGCGGCCAGCGCGCAGGCCAGCAGCGAGTGCGCGGCGCCGCAGCAGCGCAGCAGCAGCGGCAGGCGCGCCACCTTCGTACCTTCATGTAGAGCAGCAGCAGCATGAGCGGGTGGTGCGCGGCGGCGGCCAGCGCGCAGGCCAGCAGCGAGTGCGCGGCGCCGCAGCAGCGCAGCAGCAGCGGCAGGCGCGCCACCTTCGTACCTTCATGTAGAGCAGCAGCAGCATGAGCGGGTGGTGCGCGGCGGCGGCCAGCGCGCAGGCCAGCAGCGAGTGCGCGGCGCCGCAGCAGCGCAGCAGCAGCGGCAGGCGCGCCACCTTCGTACCTTCATGTAGAGCAGCAGCAGCATGAGCGGGTGGTGCGCGGCGGCGGCCAGCGCGCAGGCCAGCAGCGAGTGCGCGGCGCCGCAGCAGCGCAGCAGCAGCGGCAGGCGCGCCACCTTCGTACCTTCATGTAGAGCAGCAGCAGCATGAGCGGGTGGTGCGCGGCGGCGGCCAGCGCGCAGGCCAGCAGCGAGTGCGCGGCGCCGCAGCAGCGCAGCAGCAGCGGCAGGCGCGCCACCTTCGTACCTTCATGTAGAGCAGCAGCAGCATGAGCGGGTGGTGCGCGGCGGCGGCCAGCGCGCAGGCCAGCAGCGAGTGCGCGGCGCCGCAGCAGCGCAGCAGCAGCGGCAGGCGCGCCACCTTCGTACCTTCATGTAGAGCAGCAGCAGCATGAGCGGGTGGTGCGCGGCGGCGGCCAGCGCGCAGGCCAGCAGCGAGTGCGCGGCGCCGCAGCAGCGCAGCAGCAGCGGCAGGCGCGCCACCTTCGTACCTTCATGTAGAGCAGCAGCAGCATGAGCGGGTGGTGCGCGGCGGCGGCCAGCGCGCAGGCCAGCAGCGAGTGCGCGGCGCCGCAGCAGCGCAGCAGCAGCGGCAGGCGCGCCACCTTCGTACCTTCATGTAGAGCAGCAGCAGCATGAGCGGGTGGTGCGCGGCGGCGGCCAGCGCGCAGGCCAGCAGCGAGTGCGCGGCGCCGCAGCAGCGCAGCAGCAGCGGCAGGCGCGCCACCTTCGTACCTTCATGTAGAGCAGCAGCAGCATGAGCGGGTGGTGCGCGGCGGCGGCCAGCGCGCAGGCCAGCAGCGAGTGCGCGGCGCCGCAGCAGCGCAGCAGCAGCGGCAGGCGCGCCTCCATGCGCCGCCGCATCGCCTCGGCCCCGCCCGCACGTTCCGCCTCCAAGCCCTCCTCCACCACGTATCGCACCAGCACGTCCAGCTGCCCGAGAACCAAATGCCATATCACTCTTGACATCAGAAGTAAAACAATTGGCGAGCGAGTAGAGTAATATAGAGGGGGCAAGTCTACGCGGATTAGTTTCCGACTGCTTGATTTGATTGACGGCTGACCTGGTCGTTGTGGAGGCGCAGCGTGTCCTCGGGCGAGTGGTGTTTGGGCGTGGTCTTGTCGCGGCCCTGCCACACGCGCGGGCTGCCGATCAGAGTCTCCGCGAAGTCCAGCACCGAGCTTGCCGCCCAGCCCCTGAACAAATAATTAAAAATCAGATTTCTATTCACATTAAGATTTAGCAGTAAACAGTCGCCGGATACAAGAGAGAAGGAGAGAACGAATTGTAATGGTGATGATGAGGAATGAGCGATAAATGACCGATAAGCATTGTTCATCAGTATGGTCGCCAATTTATTCTGTACATGAGGACAGAATTAATTCGATTCAAAAAATTTTTTACATCACATCACTAAAAAATATGCCAACAAACGTGTACTGACATGCTAAGAGAATAGACTCAAACATTTTAACATGAAGAGTTTGATTGCGCGTCGTATAGTACATTAATGCAGCGGCCAGCAACTGAGGCATTGATGGACGAACGTGCAAAAGTGGGCCGAGGTATAGCCGAGGCACACATACGTAAGTACATCAATGCCTAGTTGTGGCCAAGGCTTGTATAGTACTTTTTCTCAAACATGCTTGGAAATTTGAGCATTATTTTGACAACCTTCTTCGAGATAAATCGAACTTGCGGTACTGGTCGAGCAGCGGCCGGCAATAGTTGTATGAAAATCCATATCTGTCGTGTTTAGCGGCCATATAAATTACTATGTAAAATCATATTTGTCGTGTTTTTTAAAAATGGAACGATCTTCTACTCCGCAACATGGCGATCAAAGAGGTAACTTATCAAAGGTTTAATTTAAATTTCGAACTGGCTTGCACATAGAAAGCTGTTTAGTGAAAAAAAATAATACTTTGGCGCGTAAAAAACTATTGTCATTAGTTGTTCGTCAACTTCGTCATTGGTTTTAAATACTTTTGTATTTGACAAAATGAGTTCAAGTGAAGACAATGAGTGTAATGAAATTATTTTAACGCCACCTGAAATTCAAGAGGCAGCAACAGTCATAGTAGAAAACTTGTTGCCGCCAAAATCTAAAGAAAAATATTTGAAAATCTATGAAAATTTTGTTCAATGGAAGAATGAAAGAAAATCGAAATCCTTATTCGAAAATGTTTTTCTGGCTTATTTAGGCGAATTCAATGCTAAAATGCACAATTTTAATGAAACATAACGTGAATTTGAATAATTTCCGCGCATTATTTGAGAAAAGTACTATACAAGTCTTGGCCGCAACTAGGCATTGATGGACTCACGTATGTGTGCCTCGGGTTTCCCTCGGCCACATTCACACGTTCGTCCATCAATGCCTCTCTTGCCGGCCGCTGCAGTAATGTACTATTCTCAAACAATGCGCGGAAATCAAAAACACAATTTTACTTTTTAAGTTCAATGTTTCACGCGCCATAATGTTCCGTTGTTTTTTTTTTCAATAAACAGCTTTCTATTTGCAAGCCAGTTCGAAATTTAAATAAAACCTTTTATTATTTACCTGCTTGGTTACCGTGCTACGAAATAAAAGGTCATTCCATTTTTAAATTACAAGACAGATATGAGTTTACATAGTAATTTATCTGGCCGCAAAACACGACAGATATGGATTTTCATACAACTTTTGCAGGCCGCTGCCCGCATGTATCTGGCCAGTACGGCAAGTTTGATTTATCTCTAAGAAGATTGTCAAAATAATGCTCACATTTCCAAGCATGATTGAGAAAAAATTATTGACCTAATATATTTATATAAAATTATAAATAATGAATCGAAGGGTAATTTATTGGAGTATATAAACCTGAGAGCCACTGAACACTCTTCTCGTACAACTAAACTCTTTTCTATACCGTTCGCAAACAATACTGTGTCACATAATAATCCAATGTACAGAATGTGCAAATTGTACAATGACATCGATTGTAAATCGGATATTGACATGTTCTATCTGAAATGTTCACCGTGTCGAAGCACTTTACATGCACTGATAACCCAATAGTTTATAAGCATAGTTTGGTAGTTTAGTTTTTGGTCCTTATTTTGTATGTAGTTTTTATCATTCATTAACATTGTTTTTGTGAGGGATTGTTAGTAATGGAGACTAAGAATCCCATTACTAGCAATATACACAACCAGGTCGATCTCATCGCGGTTCCCCCTGGAAACTATCATGATTAATTCCAGATGAATTCATCATGATGGGCTAACTGGCCTGTTTTCATCCTCATCGATCATCCTTCACTGGTGCGTATCCCGTTAGCGCAGACGGGGTTACCATTCCATTTTCATCCAATAAAAAAAAAACAAAACATGGTTTTATATTAAAAATCGACGTATGCTGTTTCACCTCTGTGAATGTTGAGCGCGACTATAATTGGATTGCAAACTTATAATGTTATTAGCACAGAAATAAATAAATAAAGCAGCAAGCGTGGTATGTGAGTGAGACACGTGTACGGACCGGTCGGGCTGCAGCAGCGCGGTGAGGCAGGCGTGCAGCGTGCGCCAGGAGGCGCGGTGCGCCAGCAGCGTCACCAGCAGCGGCCGCCACGCCGCGCACCCAGCCACGAACATCAGCCGCATCTGTACACACAGCAGATAGTTTATTTTTCATGTTCCACTCAACTTTAGCGTATCTTAGACACTAATACATAGCAAAAGTAGCAGTCAGCGTCAACTGTTCCCCGAGTATGACGTGACACATAGAAAATCCACTACATTCTTTTCGTTCTTGTTATTTTATTTTGCAAGAGGGGGAGGGGGGGGGGGTATCTGTTAACTGTTAGTATAAATTTACTGATGTCTTAAAATTTATTAAGATATGATGAGACTGACGTGTCTAAAAAGACAAAAGTCTGTAAATAAAGAAAAAATTAAAAATAAACATAAGAAATGTTCAATGCGACGTTGCCGATCTACCAATGACGGAAGATCGGCGACCTGAAGACGGAACAGAAGCCGGCTGTGAGCGATACGAATGGTCGATCTTCCGCGCAGTGCGATCGAAAGTAGCATTGATATATTGGAATTCTGTCGACGAAGATATTGGACCGAAGATCGACAGGCTTTAGCAACTACTCAGCAGAACTTAACAGGGTGGGGCGGTTGAAACAGTTGCGTGGATCAATCGCAGCGATGTATGTCGCTGTTGCTGTCCATATTGATATAAACAGTAGAAAATTAATAAATAGCAACTGGAGGGAGACCAACCTGTCGCTCGGGCTGCGGGCCCAGGGTCTCCCGCTGCAGCTCGGACATCCAATCGAGCAGTAGACCGCAGCCGCGCCCGCCACGCGAGAACAGCGGGATCTCTTTGTTGTCATTCTCTGTTTTTATCTGTTAACAAATAATAACAGTCCTATGTTATTTTGATACTGGCAACATTTTGTTGGCAATGTCTGTATAATATTTATATAACAGTGCGTTACCCTTTGTCTTTTTCTCAATGTCCTCTACCCAAAGGTTGTCTGGAAGAGATTGCATAGCGATAAGGCCGCCTTTTGTATCACTTCTCATTAATATTTACTGTATTTGTTATTTCTCTTTTTACTTGGTGCAATAAAGTGTAAAATAAATAAATATATATAATTAAAATTATTAGTATATTTTTGAAGAAATTCACGACACAAACATTTTTTCGGATAAATATGGATCAAAAAAATAATTTTTCATATGAATTCAAAAATAGGTAGTTCTTATTTTTGTGTGCATAATCTTAGTCTTCAGGAATGGTAACGCACGAGGGGTACTTACAATGTGCACGACAGTGTATTCTGTCATGTTCGTGGTGTTGATTCATCCATTCATCTATCTAAGTGTTTCCCAATCTTTTTTGTGCCATGCATATAATTTTTCTGGATAAAGTTCACTTGACGACTTTAATCGCCCAGTTGATATTTTGGTAACGCCAAACGAAATTATTCCTAATTTTGGAATTTGGCACTGATATCTACTTGTAGCATCATCACTACATAGTATAAAACAGAATCGCTGGCGCTGTCTGTCCGTCCATATGTATGTTTAATTCTCTAAAACTACGCAACGGATTTTGAAACAGATTTTTTTAATAGATAGAGTGATTCAAGAGGAAGGTTTATATGTATAATACACGCATCATATAGTAGGGGAACACTGATAAATTTAGAGGTTTCTAATGTGATGTCGTAATGTAATGGGGGGGAGGGTGCTATTTAGTATCAGCATTGCACCCGTGCGAAGCCGGGGCGGGTCGCTAGTTGCATTTAAATGGCCCGGAGCAAGAGGGTTAAAATCGCTTCGAGTCCATTTTCTAATTGCCCCCCCCCCCCTCCCAACTATCGAATTATCCCCCTGTGGGGCGTGGGCGCCACGTTGGGAGGCACCGACGTATCTGATGTATTAAGCGAGCAGTGGTCGTCAGCCGGCAGGTGTGTGTGTACCTCGTCGTAGCGGCCGTCCTTGCTGCGCTCGAGCACGGCGCACAGCACGCGCAGCACGAGCCGCGGGTCGCGCGCGCTGATCATGCGCGCGCCCACCGCCTCCAGCGACCGCGCCGACGACCGCTCCACCACTGTGCAGTACCACGCATTCATTTAACGTGCTTAAACCACTAGCGGTATCACCTCCCAACTGCTATGTTCCAACTCCAGTCTTTGTATAGGGGGAAAGGGATTGTTAGTAATGGAGACTGAGAATCCCATTGCTAGCAATATACCCAACCAGGTCGACCTCCTCGCGGTCCTCGCTGGAAACTGTCATGGTTAATTCCTGATGAATTCATCATGATGGGCTAACTGGCCTGTTAACATTCTCATCTATCACCCTTCACTGGTGCTCCGCCAGCGTATCCCGTTAGCGCAGGCGGGGTTACCATACCATTTACACGCATCAAAAAAAATCCAGTCTTTGTCATCAGGGTAAAGGTTAACCCATGTGTTAAATCGAAATAAACAATACATTTGTAGAATTTTATCAAAATTACTTGGACAATTTCGAACAGTATAAGCGAATACCGTGACGGGATTCATATCGTCACAGTCGTAGAATACTGACGGATCTGACGAATATTACATATAAAGATCCGTCAGTATTCTACGACTGTGACGATATAGGAATAGATTTTACAAACTTACGCTATTTGTTTAATTTACCGCCAAATTCGGGAGCAAATTTAATACAGAGAAATTGTTAAGAAATTAAGTTCTTTTGATGTAAAGTCGAATTTATAAAATCAAGACGTAATTTTATTACAAATTACGAACATTAAAAAAATACTAACATTAAATTGAAAATATAAAATATAATATTAGTGAGAGGCCAACTGAGTACGCAATTGTTGTATTCATAGTCAGTTTGAACAACTATTGTATGGACAAGAAGGACATATTTTAATCAAATACTTGTAATTAATTTTTACTTTGTATTTTATTTATTTATTCATAGGAAAACCAGGGCGCTACACTAGAGCAAAAAGATACAGTTTATTCATATTTTTTTTTGTTTTCATTCCTCTTATTTGTTCATTTTTTTGTTAACTTCTATTTTTGTAGCTTTGTGTACAGCGCCTTGTATCTATATTGTTGCTACTTGTGACTTGTTTTGTGATCCTAAACTGTATCTTTTTGCTCTAGTGTAGCCCTGGTTTTCCTATGAATAAATACGAATTGTATGGAATGGTTCCATTTGTGTTCATGCGTGCAGTGCAATAAATTTGTTGGTTTACTAAAAAAATATAATAATTGTTAATTTACAACTGCACGTACTAGGTCAACGTATCGCCCCACCAGTTATGTATTAATTTCCTATATTTGTGTTTAGCATAATTTTTATTTTTTAATTTAGTCAGTTACAACCGAGCATTTGGAAATATATATTTTTACAAACCTCGTCGTCTTGATACAATCCGTAGCTGGTTGTCGTAATGAAATCTATGTAAATAGCCAATAATAAAAGCGTGGTGATATCAGTACCGGCGATGAGGTCGTCCACGGTGCGCGCGTTGTCCACGTCCGAGTGGTCGGCGCGGTCGGCGTGGTCGGCGTGGTCGGCGTGGTCGGCGTGCGCGCGGCGCGGCGGGCGGGCGAGGTGGCGCAGCACGGCGGGCAGCGGGCCCGGCAGCGGCCCGTACGCGGCGCACAGTGCCTCCGCGCACTGCCGACACAACGGATGATTTAATAGTGAAAACATTTACATATACATAACCAGAGGGAGACTTTGTACAAAAGTCGATTGCTTGGCCACCTCTGTCCCATTCGTGTATCTACCGTGAAGCAGTTATGTTTGCATGGCTGTGTTTCGGTTTGAACGGTGAGATATGGCGTGAATTTACAGGGTACAGAGGAATAACACCTGAGTCCTCAGGAATGACAACGCATGGGGGTATCATGGGCGAAATAGTATACTCTGTTATGTCCATGGTACTACTCATGTCTATAGGCGACGGTTACCACTTTCCATTAGATGGGCCGTTAGCTTGTTTGCAATTATAAGTTGCATAAAATAATAATAAAAAAAAAAAAAACCTTCGTAACAATGTCTGTATTTATTTTGACAATTTTTTAAGTATAATATGTAGATAATTTTTTTACAACACAGGGGGCAAACGAGCATGCGGCTCACCTGATGGTAAGTGACTACCGTCGTCCATGATCATTTTTAAAATAAAAAAAAAAGTATTTCTATCAATTATCTATTACCTACAGAACAAGATTTGCATAGTTTGGAATCAAATAATGTTGTGCAATGCCTGTAAATATAGTATTAAAGTACTATATGAAATAATGGATAATTAAAAAAATATTTAAATATCTTATATTTAAATATTTTTATACTGATCCCGCCAGAAATTACAGTAAGTAATGAATTTATTATAAACACAAAAAAAAAAAAAACTCCAAATATTATATTTGCGCTCTATTATCGTGTGGATAAATAGGCTCAAGAAACCTTATGTTTGGAGACCATCTTCATGTGATGTATTTGCCATAGTATTTGTATAAATAGTGTATTTTATAAAAGCAATAATAATAAGTCAATCAATATAGTAAATTCTAAATAACAAAATTGTATACAAGTTGCGCAAATAGAGAACGGTGAGAGTGAGGAATAGTATGAGGTGGTGAGGTGGTGGGGTGGTGGGGTAGTGGGGTAGTGGGGTGGTGGGGTAGTGGGGTGGTGGGGTAGTGGGGTGGTAGGGTGGTAGGTACCTGCGCGAGGCGTGCGCAGCGCAGCGGCAGCAGCGCGCGCAGCAGCGGCGCGGCGCGGGGCTGGCGCTGCGCCAGCGCAGCCGCGCCGCCGCCGCCGCCGCCGCCGCGCGCCGTGCGCAGCAGCCACGACACCGTCGCCTCCGTGTACGGGCCCCCGCCACCGTCGCCGCCGCCCGACCTGGCGTGCTTCACCTCCGCCGTCACCAGCTGGATGCAATGTAATGGAAATTGCACTTTATTTATCTATTTATAAATGATACACCAACAATATGTTCAGAATAAATAAACAGACTGTACAATGTTATAAAGTAAGTAAGGAATGAAAAATGACTATTTAAAAATGCTTAAATCTATGTTTACTTCAACAAAAACATTTCTTTCTTTTTTTTCTAAGGTTAAGGCATGGAACAACCCTTACAGACGAGTGTTTCCGCGGTAAACCTCACATTTGGGCCATTGTGCGTATGAGTCTTGGCTAGTACAGCCAACCCAGCTCCGCCCAGAAGCACAGAAGCTTCCTAAAATCTTCACGGGTTTCACGGAGCGACCTCATTGTTTCGAGGATTTCTAAACGTTGAAGAGCCACAGCTTCACTTCACCAGCTAAATATTTACGCTATTCGTTTATATTACTAATATTTCTCAAAACAAAATGTCAAAAACGAAGTTCTCTATTTAAAAAAAACAATAACTACTCCCGTTTTTTTTTTATACCTGCGAGGTGGCAAACAAGCATACAGCCCACCTGATGGTAAGTGGTTACCGTAGCCCATGAACACCTACAATACCAGAGGTATTATGCGTGCGTTGCCGACCCTGAAAAAACCTCTTTACCTCCCCTTTTTAAGAACCCCATGCGGTAGGCTTTTGGAAAAAACTCGGCAGGGAGCTCATTCCATAACCTGAGTGTTTGTGGGAGGAAACATCTCTAAAACCGCGTTGTACGCGACCATTTAGGATATGAGAATGAACTCCTTGTGGATGGCGAGCCGTACGATGGTAGAAAGTGGCTCTGGGCATCATATTGAACAATTCCTCTGAGCACAATCCATTGTACAAGCAGTACAACACGCAGTGACGCAAAATCTCTCCTAAGACTTAAGGGTTCGATACCGCTTGTGAGCCTGGGATCATTAACAATTTCAAAATTTTCCCTCTGTAGCATTAATGTAGACAAAATAAGTTTGAGAACACCTGCTTCCCAAACTTATTTTGTCTACTGCCCACTTTGAGAATAAATTATTTTTTAGCGCCCCCATTTTTTCACCTACTTAAAAACCACTATTACTTCAACATCAACAAATCACCCCCCAAGCCTCTACACAACACCCTCATTTTTTTCTGGGTCTCTTACCGCCTCTCTTTAGGCCTGCAGCGCCTACAAGGGATATCGCCCACTTTCGGAAAGGCTGTATTTCATTCTCTTACAACCCTCTTACGATATTTTGGACATGAAAAGGAGTGGTGACATTTATATTACTTCTTCTCTTACTCTGTCATTATACGAAATCCATTTTGCACTTTTTTAGTTCACAAAAATAAAGCGATATAAAATTGGGTGTACCTCAAAGCAGGACTATAGGTCCCTTCCTCTAAATATTTTACATTTAATATATTACTTTTAAAATGAATGACGATATTTTAATAAAAATACTAAGTTACTTGAATCGAATAATATTCTTTTCTCAAACGTGCTTGGAAATGTGAGCATTATTTTGACAATCTTCTTCAAGATAAATCAAAATTGCCGTACTGGCCAGATACATGCGGGCAGCGGCCGGTAAAAGTTGTATGAAAATCCATATCTGTCGTGTTTTGCGGCCAGATAAATTACTATGTAAACTCATATCTGTCCTGTAATTTAAAAATGGAATGACCTTTTACTTCGAAACATGGCTACCAAGGAGATAATTAATAAAAGGTTTTATTTAAATTTCGAACTGGCTTGCAAATAGAAACTGTTTATTGAAAAAAAAAAAACAAAGGAACATTACGACGCGTGAAAAATTATTATTGTTCGTTATTCGTCATTAAATTTAAAAAGTAAAATTGTGTTTTAGATTTCTGCGCATTGTTTGAGAAAAGTACTATACAAGCCTTGGCCACAACTAGGCATTGATGGACTTACGTATGTGTGCCACGGCTACGCCTCGGCCCAGTTTTGCACGTTTGTCCATCAATGCCTCAGTTGCTGGCCACTGCAGTAATGTACTATTAAATCTTTACAGAAACGTGACATAAAAATGTTACATTTATTACAATGGTAACTCTCATAAGATAATATTACTAGATAGACTACTCTAAATACTAAAAAGAATGTATTAATTAATTCAATGTATTGTTACAAACACATCCCACATCATGTCGGTGGTACTGACCGCGAGGAGCTCCGTGAAGGCCGTGTCGACGTCGCCCGGGAAGGTGGCGGTGGCGTCGAAGGCGGCGGTCAGCAGCGCCGGCACCAGCTCCACCGCCAGCGGCTCCTCCTCCGCGCCCCACGGCTCCTCCTGCTCCGGCGGCAGCCGCTCCTCCGCGAACAGCGTGTCGTCTGCGGCCCCACACACTCAGCTTTAGATGCAGTGTATCATTGGTATAATTCAAATGATTTCAGAGTGGCTTCACAAACAACAAATTATATTACATACTCTCAGACATATTTTTGTTCATAGTTGAGTTCCACTTATAATTTGGGATGGGTACTAGAAAATTCTAGGATGTGTATGGTCTTGTTTTGACAGTATCCACAAGTATGGATTATGCATGCATGCATGCGCGTGCTGCACGCGCAGCAGCTGCGCCATGTAGGCGCGCTCCACGCCCAGCCGCGCCAGCGACAAGACAAGACAAGACAAGACAAGACAAGAGACATGCGCTAGCAGCGTACATACCGGGCGGCGGGCGCGGCGGCTGCAGGCGCAGCGCGGCGGCGAAGGCGTGTCCGCCGAGCGCGCCGCGCGCGCGCTGCACGCGCAGCAGCTGCGCCATGTAGGCGCGCTCCACGCCCAGCCGCGCCAACGCGCCCGCTGCGCATGCGTCCAGCGCACCCAGTAACGCGCTACGCCGCCGTGCAAAACACCAGCATTGCATTTTTGATCCTTCGACCCGGATTTCAGGTAACTCACTCACGTATCCGGCTCAAAGGACCAAAAAATTTTGCTAGAATTTAACTTATTTAAAAAAACAAAGGCACCATTTCAGATATTATTTTAACAGGAATTTAACTAAATATTAAATATCTAAAACCCGAAAAGTAATGATTCAGCAATAAATTAATTTTACTGTCCCGTGCATGTCTTTGAAATAATGATGTAACAATGTTAAAATACTAAAATGCATTATGTTCATCTTTTCTTCTTACGACTTAGAATGGCAAACAAGCTGACGGCCCACCTGACGGAAAGTAGTTACTGTCGTCTATAGACATAAACAATACCATGAATATAACAGAGTATAGGTACTATGTCGTTTATAATATATGTCGCCATTCCTGAAGACTAAGGAGGTCATGCCTATGTACTCTGTAATGTTATTGCCAAATTCCACCCTTCAAACCCAAATAGACAAATACAACTGCTTCACGGCAGAAACACAAATAGGATAGAGGACAAAACAGACGGCATTTAACATAATACTTCGTTGGCATTTAACACCATATGGATAGCAGGGGGATACCTCATAGAAGCGACGGGCATGCCGAAGGTCTGTATGAAGAGCGCAAGCTTGTTGGCGGGCAGAGCGCGCAGGCCGGCCTCGAGCAGCGGCGGCCGTGCCGAGCGCACCAGGTGCAGCCGCAGCCAGTCGGGCAGCAGCAGCGCCTCGGCCGCCTCGCCGCCCGCCGCCGCCGGCGCGTCCGGCCCCACCCACGCCGACTGCAGCCACGAGTACATCTCCTGGTTCGTGTCGTCTGCCAGCAACGACCATGATAAGCTCGACGGCGAGAGTATTAGGATGTAAATAAGCTCGCAATTTATGATAGATAGATATATAATAGTAAATTACTGCAGCGGCTAGTAACTGAAGCATTGATGGACGAGTCCATCAAGAGAATAAGAGAGAGGAGTAGCGCGTGTTACGCTATGCAGGAAGAAGTACTAACATATAGAGGGTCCGTAGCAGAGCAGCTTGAGATGCGCCTGCGCAACGATGACGTGCAGCGTGGCGCGGCGGCCGCTCGGCCACTGCAGCGCCACGCGCTCCGCCGCGCCCGCCGCCCACTCGCCGCCCTCGCCGCCCGCGCCCTCCGCCCCCGCCGCCGCGCCCTCCGCCCCTGCTGCCGCGCCCGCGCCCTCCACCGCCTCCTCGCGGCTGCCCACTTGCAGTTGCTGGAACATCGTCGTGCTCATAACGACACATCAGAACATACATCAACACAATGTGTTAATGTGAATGTCAAAAAGACTGTATTTTCGCTTAGCCTCTCATTTGGGCCGTTGTGGGTATGAGTCGTGGCTAGTACAGCCAACCTAGCTCCGCCCAGAAGCGCAGAAGCTTCCTGGGTTCTTCACAGGCCTCACGGAGCGACCTCACCGTTCCGAGGATTTCTAAACGTTGATGGGCCACAGCCTCACATTCCAGGATAACGTGAGCAGCCGTTTCTTTGGCGTCGAAACAGCCTCGACATAGAGGGCTGTCTGTGGCTCCTATTGTGTATAAACGTTTGTTTAATGGACAATAGCCCGTTATTGTCCCTATCATTATTTTCAGTTTTTTTTTTTTCTATCTAGATGTAATAAACGTTTTGATAGTCGTTGATTCAACGTAGGTACGGCCAATTTTGATTGTCTGCAATCAGTAGCCTGTATCCATCTTTGGTTTTGTATGTCAGCGGATCTTTGACGAATCCATATTCGAAGTTGCGAGAACGGAAGAGGAAGAAGTGGGTACGGGCCTACCACACTCGTTCCTGAGACTCTTCTAGCTAGTTCGTCTGCGGCATCGTTACCATAAGATCCACTGTGCCCTCTTATCCATTGGAGAATAACTCGGTTATTGGAAGATATCCAGTGAATGGTGGCATTCAATTATTAATTTGTTGTTCGTCTTGTTGTTTCGTAATGCTTTTAGTACTGTTGCGCTGTCAGATAAGAATCTAATGCCAATACCATTTATTCCAAGCTTATGTACAGCTGCAGCAGCCTCGGTTATTGCAACACATTCGCATTGGAATATTGAGCTGTGTACGCCAAGCGGTATGTGCACGTTTATATTAAGGTCTAAGGAAAAGACTCCGGTTCCTGAACCGTTCTCAGTTTTGGAGCTATCGGTGTATATGCATAATTCATGTATACCGGATTGGTCCTTTGCCTCTTCTTTTATTTGTACTTGGTATTTTTTGTTAAATATATAATGATTATGAGTCCTGTCACACAGAGCCGCAATACAAATGCATCAACACAAATTAGTATATATTTGTTAATAAAATGGAGAAAAACTTTCTCCGAAAGCTCTGAAAGATCTGTAGATTAACACAGCAGCCAAATTTGAGTGTCACAAGGTTTTAATAATTTTCAAAACACCATAAAAGTTTTCAAATAAATTGTGTAAATTACCCACGCATTCAATGGCCAATGTTCAGCGGAAACTATAAGGAGTGGTAAGATTTTTTCGATATGTTCACATACCACTGTCATAAAAATAAAAATGTAAAAAATTTAATGCGAAATTTTTGAAATCTTTACTGATACGGTTTAATCATAAGTAGAATTTATTAATCTATTTTCCATTGGTAGTGTTAACACTAATACATGCTTAGACAATGGCGGACCGGCATAAACGTTACGCGCTGCGTATTTGCAGCCATGCATTTGTATTAATATACAGCACAATGGTCACCATACTACCCTGCAAATTTTTTATTTTAAAACTAAAACCGATAAATACATTAAATACATATATGTAATTTTGTATCACACAATAGAAATCAATGGAGTGTTAGTGGTACCTGTCGTAGATGCGTGTAGAATATGGTGGTGAGTGCATGAAGGGTGCGGTGCTGGGTACGGGATGGTACGGGCGGGGGGTCCCGCAGCTCCGCCGGCGGTAGCACGCTGCCGATCACCGTCGTCCGCTCCATCACCACCTGCGCACATCCATTATTGGTCAAAAAGAATATTTTCTTTTACTAAATGTGCATTTTTATAAAGTGGTGATTTTTAAGACTAAAAAAAAAGTACATAAATATAATTTAAAAAGCCTTTAATTTACCTTTAATTTGAATAAATTACCTGGGCGAGATCGAGCGCGAGGTCGGTGTGGTCGGTGTGGTCGGTGTGGTCGGCGAGCGGCGCGTGCAGCGCGCGGTCGGCCACGTGGCGCGCCAGGAAGGCCAGGTAGGCGGCCACGTGCGCCGGCACGCACTCCACCAGGCACGCCGCGCGCACGCGCGCCACCACCTCCTCGCGCACGGCCGCCCAGTGCCGCTGCGCCCACGCCAGCTCCAGCCACTGCCTGCGCACAGCCACCGCAACCGACCTCGCCTCACATACCATTTACAGCTTTGCCAAAACTCGAAATATTTCCAATTTAATGTATATACCATCAGAGAACTTCAATTTCGTAAATTATAAAAATATTAATGAAATAAAAAACATTTGGAGAAGTATTTACTCAGGGCTGACGTCGGCATTGTAGTCCATTTCGGCGGTATCGTCTGTCGTCTGCGTCAACACCAACTTAAGACCCTGTAAGTTAAAAATTACATTGATTTTTGTTATTTTTTATAAATGAATGTAAACGTATGTAGTTTTAATAGTGCAAAGGTGCGGCACGCTAGTAAAAAGTTATCAGGTAGTACTGCAGCACGGCGCGCTAGAGAGAGAGAGGGAGCGGCACGCACCCTGGCGGCGGCGGCGCGCGTGGGCGCGTGCGCGTGCGCGAGGCGCTGCAGGTAGTACTGCAGCACGGCGCGCTAGAGAGAGAGAGGGAGCGGCACGCACCCTGGCGGCGGCGGCGCGCGTGGGCGCGTGCGCGTGCGCGAGGCGCTGCAGGTAGTACTGCAGCACGGCGCGCGCGCCGGCCGCGCTGCTCGCCACGGTGCGGCGCAGGTGTGCACACAGCTCGCCCGCCTTGCTCGTCTCGCCGCCTGCGCCGCCCACGCCGCCCGCCGACAGGAACTCGCACAGGCACTGCACCGGCAGCACGCTGCAACAGACACGCACCGTCATCCACGAGCCACTCGACGGGACTACACTTAACAACCTTACATACTTGGAACACTCAGAAAGTTTTGCGACGCTAAAAAAAATAAACTCCATAGGCATAGTACATTGCTGCAGCGGCCAGCAACTGAGACATTGATGAACGAACGTGCAAATGTAGGCCGAGGCGTAGCCGAGGCACACATACGTGAGTTGTGGCCAAGGCTTTACAGCGACCAGCAACTGAAGCATTGATGGACGCACGTGCAAATGTGGGCCGAGGCGTAGCCGAGGCACACATACGTGAGTCCATCAATGCCTAGTTGTGGCCAAGGCTTGTATAGTACTTTTCTCAAATAATGCGCGGAAATCTATAACACAATTTTACTTTTTAAGTTTAATGACGAATAACGAACAATAATAATTTTTCACGCGTCATAATGTTCCTTTGTTTTTTTTTTTCAATAAACAGTTTCTATTTGCAAGCCAGTTCGAAATTTAAATAAAACCTTTTATTAATTACCTCCTTGGCAGCCATGTTTCGAAGTAAAAGGTCATTCCATTTTTAAATTACAGGACAGATATGAATAGAATAGAATAGAATAGAATAGAATAGAAATCATTTATTCAAATAAACTTACATTGAAGCACTTTTGAAAAGTCATTACATTTTTTTTAATTTACCGCTCGTTCGGAAAGCTGTCTCATCACAAGAAGAACGAGCAAGAAACTTGCGTGATGCTCTTTTAAATAATTTTATTATTATTTTACATTTTTAAGTTTAATTGTGTGAATACAAACCACCAATTAGCACTAATTCAATTAAATACTCAAAATGAAAAAAAAAAAATTGAATACATAACCAACTGGTTAAACAATTAATAAGAGGAAATCAGTCATAGTGATTAGAGCAGACCAGTCCCTACAAGCAGCACCCGTTCACGAGTATGACGGATGAGCCAGCCATCACTGCGCTCGACCATATTTTAGGGAGCCCAATGACCCGGCCCACCACGCCGCCACAAGTCTGGACATTTTAGTGAGCATGACTACTCAAAACACTAGACCACGTCAAAGCTACTCACAATTGCCATCTGATAGTTATAGTATTCACATTTTACATAAGAATGCATGCGGCAATTAATACAAAAAACCGCTACGCTTTCATATTTCTAAAATTAATCAATTAAATCAAGAAAGCAATGAGAAAAAAAAATTATAACGTTGTATGCTAATAAACTAATTATTTACTTGATATGTATGTAATTTAAAAATGGAATGACCTTTTACTTCGATACATGACTACCAAGGAGGTAACTAATAAAAGGTTTTATTTAAATTTCGAACTGGCTTGCAAATAGAAAGCTGTTTATTGAAAAAAAAAACGAAGGAACATTATGGCGCATGAAAAACTTATTATTGTTCGTTATTCGTCATTAAACTTAAAAAGTAAAATTGTGTTATAGATTTCCGCGCATTATTTGAGAAAAGTACTATACAAGCCTTGGCCACAACTAGGCATTGATGGAATCACGTATGTGTGCCTCGGCCCACATTTGCAATTTCGTCCATTAATGCCTCAGTTACTGGCCGCTGCATTAATGTACTATTTGCGGGTAGCGGCCGGCACAAAAGTTTTTTTTTTTTTACTTCGAATAATGGCTCCCAAGGAGGTAACTAATAATGTACTACAAGTAATGTACTATTTATTACATCTTTTTACTCTCCACCAGCCTCTATACAAAGTTTTCTTCCGTAACAGCCGTCAAAGGGCGACCACTTCTTTCTTCATTCCCCAAAGTTCGACCGCGCTTAAATTCATTATACCAACGATACACGGTTGCCTTAGAAGGGCCTTCATCCATGAATGCCATTTGAAGTCTACCATACGATTCGTCCGGTTTTAGGCGACACTTAAAATCGTAAAAAATCATAGCGCGAAAATGTTCTCGACGCAAATCCATGTTTCAATGAGACACGGTAATTTTAATTAGCTCGCAAAAAATGTGGAGGGAAGTTTTGAATTTAGAACGTACCTATTTTTACTTATAAGTAATCATATTTTTAAATAAATTATGACTGGCCAGTCTCACATATATAAAAACTTTTTCTCGCAATACTTTCTGAGTGACGGTACAGTCAGTTCAGTTTGTGCGAAAGGATGAAACTTTTGATACTTCTCTTATGGCCCATCAAATATGGGCAAGTAAAGTTAAACATTATCACTCCAGATATCGCGTCAACGGGATTTTACACACCAAAATAATCTAGACACGCGGCAGCGTGTCTAGCCAAGTTCAAAGAATAAAGGAATTGGCGACGCAGCAGTCAAGTGTAATACACAAGAACCATTTCAAGCTACTTTTGACTCCTTTACAACTCAACAAAACTATTTAAACTATATACATGAAATTTAGCACAGTTATTAAAGGCCCTTATTTTTTTTTATTTTTAATATTACTATTAATAATGAAAACAAATTATGTCATTCTGTAAATAATTCTCCCAAAAAACAATAACGTTTATCGACGTAATAATAATTCGTCAACTGTTACAATTTATTTTATTACAATAGTTCAATGTCAATAGATGCTAGCTTGTTTAGAATCCAGAATACTTATATATTTATTTACAGGAAAATCAGAGCTACAGTAGTGTAAATAGAAATAATCCAGGATTACAAACTAAGCCATTAATAGGTTTCACAAATAGTAACAGAATAGATGAATAGCATTGCACATAAAGCAACAAAAAGAGAAAAGAACAAAAAATAATTAAAAACAAAGTAAAAGCTAAATGTAAATATTTAACTAAAATGTGGCCTTCTCATCAATATAATACATACTCAAAACAATCTATAAACAAAAAAAAAAATGCTTACTTGTTTGTCTCTTACTGATATTTTATTTTTCGAAAATAAGTCGATATTAAAGGAAGACTACTAAAGTTATTACTAGCTCGCCAAAGGCGCGAATTTTATCTATAATTTAATGACACTAGAGGGACTAATAGAGTAGAATTACGTTTTTAGATTTGATGGGTATATTTAATTTTAATTTAACATATGCCGTAATTCAGGGCAGTCGACCATACCTAAACCAAATATTGCACTTGAATTACATCCCAAATGAAAAAAAAACGAGCTGTTTAAAATTTAAAAAATTATAAGAACTATTATGTAGCAAACATAGTAGTACCAAAAAACAAGAAATTGTTATAAAAAAATATTTTATAATGTTGTATGTTCTTATAACTTGTAAATTTGAAGTATTTCTACACAGAACTTGACACCCGTTTAGATCTCAATTCGTTTTTCGGCGAAGTCGAAACGACGCATATTCGTAATATTGAACTTGGCTCTCATTTCACATTATGTTTTTGATGAGATTTTAATCAACGAAATTTGCAATTCTTTGCTTGTCTTCGGGCGATGTTTTTTTTTATCGATGAGAATTAAATGGTGACCCCGCCTGCGTTAACGGTATACGCTGGTGGGGCACCAGTGAAGGATAATAGGTGAGAATGAAAAGGTAGGTTAGTTAGCCTATCGTGATGAATACACCTGGAATACAGCAAAATGGGTTTCGACCTGAGAAGGTATATTGCTAGCAATGGGACTGGTAGTTTACATTATTAACAATCCCTGCCCTCCCCCCCCCTCTTGGGCGATGGTTACCACTTACCACCAGATGGGCAGAATGCCTGTTTTCAAATGATATAAAAATGTGTTTAACCTGAGCTCGAGTTGGTCGTGTCGTAGCAGCTGGTGCAGCCAGGGCATGGCGCGGCGCGTGCCGTGCCGCTCCACTAGATCCAGCAGCAGCGCCGGCTGACGGCACAGTAACTTTCCCAACCGCATCTGAGTGCTCATCGCCTGTAGTGCATCAAGCGTGGCCTGCGGCGGCTTGCGAGCGGGGCCCAGCGGGTCCAGGATCGTCAGCTGGTTGTAATAACATAGAGGAAATGTCTCGTTATGGGTGTGGTAATTATACAATAATTCAAAGAATTAGGTAAAGAAAAAACGAAAAATGTCAGATGAATAGAAAAAGAGAATTAACTGAGTCATCCCCCCCCCCTCATCGTCATCATTTCAGCCATTACCCACCCATTGCTGGACATAAGCCTCCCATATAGACTGCCATAGACCCCATAGATCGATAAGGAACGGTCCTGAGCTACCTGCATCTATTGACTCCCTGTAATGCATTTGAGGTCAAGTCACTCCATCTAGCGTCTTCCTACACTGCGTTTGCCCATAAGCGGTCGCCACTCAAGAACCTTTTTTCCCCAGTGGTTGTCGGTTCTTCGAGCTGTGTGACTAGCCCATTGCCACTTCAGCTTGTTTATTCATCAGGCTATGTTGGTTACTTTTGTTCTTTTTCGGATATCCTCGTTTGACTGAGTCTTCGAGTCTAACTCTTGACATACCTGGCTGAGCAGGCGCGAAGAGTGTTCGGTAACGGGCAGCTTGGCATTGCTGGCAGCAGCTAGGTGAGTCTCCAACTGTAGCACAGTCTGGCGCTCTGCCTCCAGCCGCTCTGCCTCTAAAGCTGGACTGCTGTTCCACTCGATGCTGGGCTTGCTATAACCACATCCAATCATACATATAAAACATACTGGCAATACTTTAATGTTTTTTATAAATACATATCTGTCACGCGTGTCTCCCATTAGGGTAGGCAGAAACAATGGAACGCCAAATGCTTCGATTCAAACAAACCTCTTTCCCTTCTTCCACATTGATCAATCTTTTCATACGCGTTTGCCAGTTACGGGTGCTTTTAATTTGGCCCTTCTTCAGCACGTCGCCTACTTGGTCGACATACGTCCTGTTACAATCCTAGCATATAGGCATAGAGGAAGACTTTGTACAAAAGTCGATTGCTTGGGTATCTCTGTCCCATTCGTGTTTCAACCGTGAAGCAGTTGTTTACATGGCTGTGTTTCGGTTTAAAGGGTGGGATATGGCGTGAATTTACTGGATACAGAGGAATAACACCTGAGTCCTCAGGAATAGCAACGCATGGGGGGTATCATGAGCGAGACAGTATACTCTGTTATGTCCATGGTACTGCTCATGTCTATAGGCGACGGTTACCACTTTCCATCAGGTGGACTGTCAGCTTGTTTGCATTCTAAGTTGTATAATTTTTTTTTTATTTAATGGGTGATAATGGAATAGTAACCCCACCCGTGCTATCGGTATACACCGGCGGGGCACCAGTGAAGGCTGATAGGTGAGAATGAAGCAGGTCAGTTAGCCCATTGACGAATTCGACAAGAATTGTTGAGGATGATTTCCAGGAGGAGCTAGGTGCAGTTGTGTGGATCACCTGGTGATGCAGGTCTCGAGCAGCGCGCGCAGCGTGGGGTAGGCGAGCGCGGCGCGCTGCGCGAAGGTGTCGGGGTTGTGCGCCGCCAGCAGCGCCAGCAGCGTCCAGCCGCGCCAGTACAGCGACGTGATGGCCAGCGCCGGCGGGCTGTACCTGCACGCCATGTTCACGCTTACTCATTACCCGCACCGCTATACCAGTGACGGTGGCTGTGCCCCGGCATACAATTGGCCACCCCTTCCTTTCCCGTGGGTGTCATAAGAGGCGACTACGGGAGGGCGAGATATGGGCAGCAGTGTCTCTCTTAAAATATCTCTAAAAACCTATCTGCGGTTACCAATCCGCTTGCCAAGCGTGGCAACTAGATAGATAGATAAACATTTTGAGCCATTTATGACACACGTAAATTAACAAATGAGTTTATACAATCAAATTATTTATTTACTAAACTACTGGCAAAACTCCCCTTATGCGGAAGGATTATATTCAGTTAATGGCTGAAATCAGGGAAAAACAGAAATGTTCATTGTGTCGTAACACTTTACATGCACTGATAACACAATAGTTTATAAGCATAGTTTGGTAGTTTAGTTTTTTAATCTTGTTTTGTATGTAGTTTTTATCATTCATTCAAATTGTTTTTGTATTATAAATCGACGTATTCTGTTTCACCTCTGTGAATGTTGAGCGCGACTATAATTGGATTGCAAACTTATAATGCTATTGTTGTATTGTATTGGTAAAAAATTTGTTTGTAATCTATTGAAGTAGCACAGAAATGAATAAACATTAATATATATAGCAATGAGCAAAGAAATCAGCACAGACGACGAATGAAAGACTTGATGAAAAGGTGGATATTTTTATCATTGATTACAGTTACGATCCAAACTTATTGCATTTCAAAATTATATAATATATAATATAATACCAGAGGGAGACTTTGTACAAAAGTCATTTGCTTGGGTACATCTGTTCCATTCATGTTTCCATCGTAAAGCAGTTGTGTTTGCATGGCTGTGTTTCGGTTTGAAGGATGGGATATGGCGTGAATTTACAGGGTACAGAGGAATAACACCTGAGTCCTCAGGAATGGCAACGAATAGGGGGTATCATGGGCGAAACAGTATACTCTGTTAAGTCTATGGTACTGCTCATGTCTATAGGCGACAGTTACCACTTTCCATCAGGTGGGCCGTCAGCTTGTTTGCCATTCTAAGTTGTATAAAAAAAAATAACTTCTTAAAACCAATGGCAGTCTGATGATAAATATGGAATTGTTATGAATGATCGTGATGACAACTGACCCCGGCGGCAGCGTGATGTTGTCGGGCGGGTGGAACTGGCACAGCTGGAAGATGTACTCGGCGATCTCCAGCTTGTCCACCTGCAGCGGGTTGTCGTCGGGCGGCAGCGCGCACGCCCGCCGCACCACCTGCTCCACCAGCTCGAACGCCTCCGCCGCCGACACCGGCAGCTCCTGCAACCACCCACTGGCATTATACTCGCTGCAGGTGCCCTCACTACAGGGGCTTGGAGATGCTCAAGTAGGAGCACAGTCTATACTTGCCTTGGAAACTGTCAGGGAACTGGTTCCATAAATGTAGGAAAGGAAAAGGGACAAACTTTTAGTTAAGGAAAAGGTGTATCCACTAATACTTGTATTTCGGTTACAAATTCAAGAATTTGCAGTGCTTCTCAAATAAAGGATTCTTCTTCTAGAACACAGATTAGGGACATCATTAATGACATTGAAGATGAGTTGTGTGGGCGGTATGCTCACCTTGGAGAGCCCGATGAAGATGACCCTGAGCAGGTTGTTCTGCGGCAGCGGCGCCTCGCAGCACAGGCGGTACGTGAGCGCACGCTCTGATTCCGGCGGCCAGTTGTCCGCCTTGCTGTACGTCTCCGCCGGCTCTACGAACATTATCTGCCGAATACACCACATATTGTATTTATATTTTTAATTTTTTTGTTCCTTGAAAGCCAGATTTAAATTAAAAAGTACCTAACAAGTATGGAAAAATAGCAACCTTTTACAAATCAAAGAACAACGTAACGTCAGGACGTCACTAAAGGAACTGTGCTTAGTAGAACACTTTCTACCATCGTACAGCTTGCCATCGACAAGGAGTTCACTCTCATACCCTGGAGCCTAGATGGTCACGGACAGCACGGGTTCAGAAATGTTCTTCCATGAACGCTCAGGCTATAAAATGAGCTCCCTGTCGAGACCTTTCCAAGAGACTACAGCATGGGGCTCTTAAAAAAAGGGGAGGGTAAAGAGGTTTCTTTAGAGTCAGCAACGCGCTCGTAGTACTCCTGACATTGCAGGCGTTCATTATTTTTTACCACTCATTACCACTAGGTGAACCATATGCTTGTTTGCCACTTCAGTGGTATTAAAGAAAAAAAGTTACACCACATTGGACATATGATTGTTCATGAACTAATTGTACTAACTGAAGCTACCAAAAGTAATGGCAAATGGCCGAGTGATATGACCACTAATGTGACGTCATTATTTAGTATAACTGAATATCTTATAGTAATGTCGCATCAATTAGATTGTTACTTATTTATGATATTGAATTATAATATAATATCCAGTTAATAATAAAAAAATACAATGATTGTAAACAATACATGGGGGGTATAATGGGCATAACAGTAAACTCTGTTATGTCCATGGTACTGCTTATGTCTATAGGCAACGGTTACAACTTTCCAACAGATGGGCCGTCAGCTTGTTGGCCATTGTAATTTACATAAAAAAAATATTTTGTATTGTATAGAACTTTGTACAAAATCATATTGCAGCAGTGGTTGAACGAGAGCTTAAGGCGTGGGATCACCTTATTGAGGGCAAGTTGGTAATCGTGGCGCGAGGGTCTGTATATGGGCATGGCGGTGTCGAGCAGCCAGCCGAGCGCCGAGCACTGGATGGCGCACAGCTGCTGCTTGTACTCGGGCAGGTGCTTGCTGTGCGAGGCTGTCACCATGCAGCAGCAGCAGAACAGGTCCGCCAGCGATGAGAATGCGCGCTCGCGGACCTGCCACACATTAAAGTAGGTATTAATGTAGCTATCTAGTGTTACCTGTCTGAAAGGTAAGACATCTCTTGAGACATTCAATAAATTATGACAAGATGATGTTATAGACATTTTTAGATAAAATATGACCTCAGATATAAGTGACCTTCGATTTTGTGACTATATTTAGATTATTAAATATTAAAAAGAATGTGGTTTTTAAATAGGAGTATATGAAAAGCAATACACCTTTAGAATATCAAAATATCGTCGATCTATCGCTCTGATAATACGGTAATCAATCTGGCTCGGAAGGACCAACATTCAATTATAGTCCTCTGAGCCGGATGTTTATCTGGAGCTTACGAATATTGCTTGCTTGTACAGATAAATGTTAGAAGGAAGAATGTTAGTATATTAGTAGGTGTAGGCGCGTACCTCGGCAGCAGGCTCGTGCGGCGGCGGCTGCGCCAGCGCGCGCGCCAGCGGCGCCAGCGCGGCCGCGTCGGCGCGCGCCGCGCGCACGCACTCCCGCGTCAGCGCGCGCAGCGGCCGCAGGTAGTCCTCCGCGCGCAGCACCAGCTCCTGCACCACCGCGCCACATCTCACTATCTCACTTCATATGCTACAGTCTTCTTTTCTAAATTTACCTGCTATTGCCTACTTTCCCTTTTTGCTGCGTCATTTCCCTCAACTCTAATCTGACATCGTTACGAGCTAATTTACATAGTAATCAAATAAATTTTATTTATTACTTCCATGTACAATTTATCGCATCATACTAATAAGGCGTCACAACAACCCCGTCTTCCCCCCCCCCCCCCCCACATTCTTTGTAATCCTTCGAGCCGGATGATTTGCTGCGAGCACATTAGTTATTAATTATAGTACCTGATAGGTGTCGGCCATTGCGGCGGGCACGAGTTGCGGCTGCGCCTGCACGAGCGCGGCCAGCACGGCCATGTTGTTGGGCGAGCGCACGTTGGATAGCTCGTTGTAGATCGTGTGCGTCACCACGCTACGCAGCAACGCCGGACTGTCCGACACCATCTCCCTGTGCAATCGACAGCAATCACGTCATTACATGTGTATATGAGAGGCACAATGAATGTTGTTTATATTATAGAGTAGGCGAGCAAGTGTCGGTGGCGCCGTACCGACCTGAGGCAGGCCTGGTAGGCGGCCTGCAGCGGCTTGGTCTTGAGGCGCATGCGCGCGAGCTGCGCCAGCACCTCGTGGTCGCGCTGCGCGGTGGGCCCGCAGGCGTCCGCGTTGCAGCACACGTACGCCAGCAGCTCTTGTGCACACCGCCACAGCTTGCCCGAGTGCAGCCACGCCTCCAGCCGCGACGCCGAGATCATGCGGATCTGGAATCACAGTACACGGATCGTAGACAACAAACAAAAGACGGTCTTGCCTTACAAAAATACTCAATAGTATTAGATATTAATACCTCAGGGAAGCCACAAGTAGCCGATAACAGCTTCAGAAATCCCTTGTGTATGGCGTCGGGCGCGGCGCGTCTTTGTATCTGCTCCTTGATAGCTTCCAGCACTAACGCCTCCACAGTCTCGTAACTACTTGAATATCTGAAAATAAATATTATTCCTGAAGATTACTTACGAATATAGCAGATTCAAATTAAAACAAGAAGTCTCATACAAGTGGATATCCCCTAAATAATAAATATAAAAAAATGACAGCAACTCTTAAAATATAGTTTAGTAGCGCAGAAGGTTCACCTTGGGAATACAGAATATTCCAACTCTGTGTTGTCTGTGTCTTCATCAGTGCTGCCCATCAGGGGCGAGCCTGACCCTGATGGCGACATTGTTCCTGTGCACAAAAATAATTCATTTTAATAATTGAGAAAGCTTTTTAAAAATTTCAAATGTAATGTAGCTTAGAATAAAAGATTTTGGATTTATTTTAACTATTTTAGAAATTGATATTGATTAGATATTTGTTAATTTATTAAAAAAAATATATTTATACATTTTATAAAAATATTGTTAAAATATTAATATTTTATTTATTTAATTATCATGCAAATACAGATACCGAAAAATTTTTAGTACCACTCTCTCTCTCTCACGGGTTTGTGTGTGGCATTTTAGATTTCATTCTCAAATAGTAAGTACTGACATTAATTCTGCTGTTTTAACAAGGTTGGACATAAAATTTAAGAGCATATTTTCTATGCTCTTAAATTTTATGTTCTTAACAATAATATCGCTTCGTAAGTCGGTAGATAAAAAATTTATTAACCACAGTGTGAGGTATGAAAACCATCTTACAATATTAAAATAATTAGATCACATAATTAATTTATTATTTTAAAGATTAACAATAACAATATCTCACCTAATGTATTTTCACTGGGTATGAGGTGTGGTGGTGGATGCTTAGTTTTGAACGCAGTGACAATATTCTCCACTAGACACTTGCACCACGAACACTCTACCCACCAGCGTTCATTCAGTGCATCTTCTATATACACCTGGATTAAAAAAAAAACAGTGACCATCAGAAACATATGACAAAAACAATCTTTTTTTATACAACTTAGAATGGCAAACAAGCTGAAGGCCCACCTGATGGAAAGTGATAACCGTCGCCTATAGACATGAGCAGTACCATGGACATAACAGTGTATACTGTTTCGCCCATGATACCTCCCATGTATTGCCATTCCTAAGGACTCAGATGTTATTCCTCTGTATCCAGTAAATTCACACCATATCTCACCCTTCAAACCAAAACACAGCCATGCAAACACAACTGCTTCACGACAGAAACACGAATGGGACAGAGGTACTCAAGCAATCGACTTTTGTACAATGTCTCCCTCTGGTAATATTATCTATTATTTTCTAATATAATAAAATTGTAATGATAAAAGAAATAATTTAGATTAGAAGTATAAAGAAGAAATAAGATAGAAGTATAAAACTTGGGAGATATTTAAAAAAAATAATATGACAGGTCTAAATAAGACAGAGTTATGTTTCTGAATGTCTAACTTAAAATCTGGTAAATAGTTCATGTTGATAGGTCATTCAAAAGTGGTTTATTCTATTGGGTTTCCAAATTAGGAAATCCATGCATACAATGTAGCAGGCAATAACCTAGTACCTGGATATTACCCAGCACCTAAATTTAAATACAAATTTGCTTTCTTTTTATACAACTGAGGTAATGAAACAGCCTGCTTGATAGTGAGTAGGTACCACAGCCAATGGACATTTGCAATAATAGGAGCTAGCTCATATATCAAATATTTTATTAGTTTTTCTTATTTGTTTAAGGAATGAATGAAAATTCTTTATAGTTCCTTTTAATAAATTATTTATATTATAAAGATTAATAATATGTACATAAATAAAATAAATACTTAATTACATATAAGTAAGATAAAAGGGCAACAATGGGCAGCCTTATTGTTAAATAACAATCTCTTTTAAGGAACTTAATTATTTATTTTAACATTTATTTATTTATTTATATATTTATTTAACTCTTTATTGCACCATAAATAAAAATATACAATGACAAGTAAATAATTCAAATGAAATACAGTAACATAAATACAGATTGAAATATACACATAAAGGTACAAAAGGCGGTCTTATCGCTAGGGCAATCTCTTACAGACAACCTTTAGTTAAGGGAGAACAGATAGAAAAGGGCAGGTGGCGCAAGAGTGAATCAACAATTTTCGTGCATAAAATACAAAAACATGTAATGCACAAAAATATCAAATACATATAATTTATTAAACTACTTACTATAACAATATATATACATACATACATACACATACACATACATATATATATATATACATACATATACACATATAACATACATACAAAATACATAAACATACACATATAAATGTATGTATTTAGCACACACAAGGAAATATGACAAATCTAGTCCAAAAATTACAAAGGAGTGGAAAAGAGTAACTACAGTGAAAGAAAATGTGATTTGACTTGTCCTTTAAACGAAGCCAAGGATTGCGCACTCTGTATAGACGGTGGCAGTGAGTTCCATAGGCGCACTGCCTGAACGGAAAAGGATTTGGTGTAGTACACGGAGGTATGTGCTGGGGTTTTTAAACGGAGACTATTTGAGGTACGCGAAGCGTGACTCTGAACTTCACCGAGAAATATAAATCGCTCTTTAAGATAGTGAGGTGTAAGAGGATTGAATAGAATGGAATAAAGAAGAGATAATATATGCCAATCTCGGCGTCGACGTATTGGGAGCCACTTGAGCTGAGTGCGAAAATTAGAGATGTGGTCGTATTTACGAAGTCCAAATATAAATCTAATACACAGGTTTTGGAGACGCTCAAGTTTATTAAGTTGGTCTTCGGTGAGATCAATGTAGCAGGTATCAGCATAGTCAAGGACAGGAAGGACAAGGGAGTGAGCAAGCGCAACTCTAGTGGCCATAGGTAAAAAATTACGTAATCTTCTGAGTGAGCCCACAATCGCAAAGACCCTCCTACTAATCTCTGTTATTTGGGTGCTCCAGGATAGCGTTCTGTCAAGATATATTCCGAGATCCTTTACAAAATCTTTATAGTCCACAGATATCCCGTCGAACATTATATTAGGCAGATTTTCCCAGCAAATTCTTGAAATATAGTTGGGGCTCCCGATAATAATAGCCTGCGTTTTATTAGGGTTTACAGTTAATCCAAATGACTTACACCAGCTCGAAATGTGTGCCAGATCTTTGTTTATTGAATATATTGCAGAGTCTAACTCATGAAATGGAGCGTGTGAGTAAATTTGAAGATCATCTGCATAAAGGTGGTAGGAAGAGCGAAGTTGAATAGTGATGGTGTTAATAAATAACGAAAAAAGTAAAGGAGATAAGACGCCACCCTGAGGTACACCAGCTAGCGTGCGACACCATGATGAAGAGCTATCTTCAGTATGAATGCGTTGCTGGCGCCCATTCAGGTAACTTTGAAACCACTCAATTACGGCTGGAGATATGTTGAGAGAACGCAATCTTCCTAATAATATATCAAAATCGACAGTATTAAAAGCATTACTTAGGTCTAACAATGTTAAAACCGTAAGCTGTGAGTTTTCCATACCATGACGGATATCGTCGGTGATTTTGACAAGAGCAGTAGTCGTACTATGACCGGCACGGAAACCTGATTGGAAGGGATTAAAAAGATAATTCTTGGATAGGAATTCATTTAGTTGTTGATGGACAAGTCGCTCGAGAGCTTTAGAAAGAAATGGAAGAATGGAAATTGGACGGAAGTCTGAAAAAGATGTTGGATTGGGTTTTTTAGGGAGAGGAAGTATATGTGCGTTTTTCCAGACAGAAGGGAAAACTCCCGAGGACAAGGAATTATTGAAAACCAATGTAATAATGGGAAGGACAATGTCAAGAATGGGAAGGATCATAGTACGACTTATGTCATCTGACCCCACAGCATTAGAAGTAATAGCTAGCAGGCTCTTCTCAACATCACAGTCCGCAACTGGAGTAAAGAAAAAAGGCGAATAGTCAGGGATTGGAATAGAAAAAAGGTAATTAATCGTGTTTGTTTTAGTGGTGTTATCAATAACAGCGGAAGAGCAGAAATGCCTATTAAGGCTGTTAATATCAATATTTTGGGAGCCATAACTTTGGTTCTTACCAATCCCCACCGACTTCAGAAATTTCCAAACTTTGGTTGGGTTGCCATTTTCGACAGATTTATGAAAGTGGCGTCGTTGAGCTTCTCTACACACCTTATTACAGTGATTTCTAACACGTATATACTGTTCACGATATTTTGTGGGATCAGATTTAAATTTAGACTTGGCTCTGTTCTTTTTCGCCTGAATGGTTTTAATTTCATCTGTCAACCAAGGTGCAGGTAGATGTCTAACACGCACTGGACGGACAGGCGCATGACGGTCGTAAACCTCAGTGATGAGATTATTAAATATTACGATCTGATCATCAACAGTATTGGCACTATGAACTAATGCCCAGTCCAGATCCAGTACTTCCCTTCGCAGAAGATCAATATCTATGGCTCCGAAGTTACGCTGCATAAGGATTTTGTGTTTATGTTTTGGGGGACGGGTTTTGAAAGAAAGAAAAATGAGATCGTGACAAGAGAATGCATCAGCAGTACATTGGCCATGCTTTGCGACGAGAAGAGGAGAGGAAACTATGATAAGATCAAGTAAAGAAGGTAAGCAATTAGGGAAAAAATGGGTAGCTTGAAGCGGTAAAATATCGAGATTGCAGGCGTCAACTACTTTCATGAGGCAATTTGATCGATAGTCATTTTTAAGGAGACAAGTATTGAAGTCTCCCATAATAATTGTGTGTTCATAAGAGGGAATTATGTTTTCTAGAAGATTTTCTAAAGGAAAAAAATAATTAATAGTGGAAGACGGACTATAAAAAACTCCTAGTAAAACTTTGGAGTGAGAGAGGGAGACTTCAATAAAAAGATATTCGGCTTCCTTTGAAGGATCAAGACTATTTGAAGAGCAAACTATATTATAGGGAATATGGGAACGAAGATAAATAGCAACACCACCACCACCCTTGCCAGTACGATCGTTGCGAATTAAATTAAACCCTGGTAAAGAGTATGAAGGGGACGGGAGACATGGCTTCAACCATGTCTCGGAGACAAGAATAGCGTGGATATTTTTTACATTGAAAGACGTTAACATGTCAGGATAATGTGCTGGTATGCTCTGCGCGTTAATATGTAAGACATTGAAATTGTTAGGAACGTCCAAGAATTTAGTTTGTAAGATTTCATCTAAAGATGTAGAAACACTGTGATAACTATCATCTGTAGCTGAGAAGATTGTATGGTAACTTTCGTCAAGTTCATCATTCATATTTGTGTGCAACAAAAATAATAATATAAATTATAATAAAAAAAAAAATAATAATAAATCAACAAAAGAAAATAAAAACTTAAAAAAAAAAAACAGAAAAAAAATGCAAATGCTACAAGGTTGCTATATCTACCCATCAGTGGAAAGTTATGTAGATACAATATAAAAGTTGAATTAAAATTACGCACATTATTTAGAGTAAAAAATAATAAGTGAAAATGAATGTAACACAATAAATATCTCAGTCACCCTATTTCATGTACATTATAATCATAGATTAAGAACAGTGCTTGTGGTCCTAGCCTTATACTTTTGACTGTTGACAGCTAGTATGATATTGACAGATACATAATATATTAATTGAAAGGTGTAGGTAGAAAAAAAAAAATTCTAACTCTAACTTAGTCTCTCTAATATGGAGGTATAGGTGTTCTTTGCTCCAATCTGTCAGCGGAATAATAGTCAATGTTTACTTTAATATACATTAATCAACGATACCTTCCTCAGTGAAAAAAACTATACATATAACAAAAAAAAAAAAAAAAAAATAGCGTAACGGATGGGCATTATTAACATTTAGTGATAAGCGTAGGTACATAAAACAATAATCATGATAGTACATTTAAGTCATGTTTAGCAACAATAACAATAAGATTATTTTAGGTACAATATCCCGTCATTTCTTCTTGTCCCGTTTTAGGCGAGACGAAGCAGCAGCAGTGACCTTGGCGGGGTCTGTCTTCATATTGTCATAGTCGTAGAATACTGACGGATCTATATATGTAATATTTGTTAGATCCTTCAGTATTCTATGACTGTGGCTATATAACAGATAAATTAGATATGTGACCACAATATTTTGAATTTCATTTTGATGACATTAGTAGTTCTTGAGATATAACACTGTGAGACAGTTCAACAAAGAAGCATCATAAATGTTATTTTGTATTGTTTTGGTACAGAACTTTAAATAGGTCAATTAGCCAAACTGTTAGTAACGGCATATATATATATATATATATATATATAATTATATATATATTTTGATGGGTGAAACTGGTATGGTAACTCCACCTGTGCTAACAGGATACACTGGTGGAGCACCAGTGAAGGGTGATAGATGAGAATGAAAACAGGCCAGTTAGCCCATCATGATGAATTCATCAGGAATTAACCATGATAGTTTCCAGGGAGAACCGCGAGGAGGTCAACCTGGTTGGGTATATTGCTAGCAATGGGATTCTCAGTCTCCATTACTAACAATGCCTTTCCCCCCAACGGCATATAATTAAGTTATTTATAATTTACCTTTATAAAAGTATCAGGCCAGTTTTTACTCTCTCGATGTCCAGCATACAACATGTTGCAGGCCAGCACAAATACTAGTGGATTCCCTTTGCTCTTGAATGCTGCACCTTGCTCTCGTTTTAGTAGTGTACACAAACTTTGTGTGACCACCTCATGTGAAAACATATTGGGCCTGATCTTTGTCAAGTACAACAGGCTCATGCAGAGGATGGGGTCAGGTTTGGAACGTTGAGATTTCAGCAACCTTATAGAACCAGTTAAGAGACCCAGCTGAAATCATTTCATTACATAAATAAAAATTGTTTAAAAAAAATATTATATACTTAATAAAATTTCATTACTTAAATAAATTGTCATTAATTGAAATAAATTTTCATTGCTTAAATAAATGAACACTATATAAATGTAACGTGTATGTATAAAATGTTTAAAAACTAAAGTACTAAAAAAAAGAATTAAAAGATTAATCAACATGTATTACCAATTTGTCAGAATTGAGTGTATCTAATGCCTGCAGTACATTTGGCACCAGGTCAACTGGATCCACCTCCAAGGAAGTACCTCCAACAGCTTCAGCTGGTGATCCAATTCTTGTCCTCTTAGCAGGCGGTGGAGCACCAAAACCTGTTGGCTCCCGTTTACGATCCACTCCTATTTTGAAATTGTATGTTATACAATTCTTTACTTATAAAACAATAATCTATTAATTAACACAAATTATAAATATTAGCAAGCAGAAAACTAACTATTAAAGCCTCTGATGAACATTCTTTAAACTTAACTAGCTAAAAATATTAACAGTTGTGATTGTGAAATCCATAAGGTAATTTCATCACAGTTTGGTCATTTATCATAGCTGTTTACCATATCAATGTACCTAGCTATATAAAACTTTATATATGTAAATTAGAACAAAGAATAACTCTTTTGTGAATCCAGGATGGTTAGTATTTGTACTAAATTTCACCCAAATACATTAGGTGTTTAGACATGTTTGAATAACAAATATTACAAGCGCTTGTATCAATATTATTAGAAGAGATTATATAGAACATTAGGACAATTAAAATTCAACCAAAACCGGTTGGATTTTAGACTTATTTCATACAGAATAGAATTCGACACGGTGGATAGATTATAGGTTATAACTTACCGCTAGTAGACGGTTTGTGAATATTACGCTTTTCAGAATCTCTGGAGACGACCACAGTGGACTTGCTGCCTAACGCAAAGATATCCTGGGGATGCTGTGGAGCCTTGCTTTTGGCTCCGCGGCCAGTTGACGGCATTTTACCCCGATCCATATCAAACCAGATATGAGTTTATTTATAATGTGTTTACGACGGCTAGCACATGGAAAATTAGTTTTTTTATTTATTGGATAGCACAATTTTATTTTAGTTTTTCTCTAAATATAACAGAAAATAGTCATGGTTTTATAATGATAGGTACACAAACAGTATGTATGTTGACAATAAACGTCATATTGACAATGTCTTAATACTATCTCGGTTACAGATTTATTATAATAAAATTTATTTTTAGCTGTGTGCCATAGATGAAGGATAATACCTGTTAAGTGCTGTCGCCTTTATATGTATTTAAATATTTAATCTACGTCTACACTAATATTATAAAGAGGAAAGATTTGTATTTTTGTGTGTATGTATTTGTAATGAATAAACTTAAAAACTACTTTACCGATTTCAAAAATTCTTTTACCGTTAGAAAGCTACATTCACCCTGTAACATAGGCTATATTTATTACTTGAAAAGATTAGGGATCTTTACTAAAACTTTAGTAACGTAACTGAAGGTGTAAAAAAAAATGCTATAAAATATCTGTCGTCGCGTGCGCTGCGGAAACTGTTGGTGATAGAAAAAAGTATGTTCTATAATATTGAAGAAAATATCAATAACTACAAAAAACTTAGCGATACTATACTATATGTCCAACTATTACTGTTATGTCACAATAATCACTTTTTAAAATGTTTGTGCCACCCGTGCAAAGCCGGGACTGGCCGCTTGTTAAGTATAATAAAAATTAAGAATTTTTTTCAACAACATTTATTATTAATTATTACAATGAAACAATTAGGTAGTGGTAGAAAATTCAAAGAAACAAAAACTTTATTCTTCTAACAAATCAACAAAGAATTTATGACAAATGGTAACAAATAATTATTTAGGTCTTTTCGTTTCGCGCTTCGACTTAAAGAATGCGCGTTGATTCGTTGGTCGTTGCTCTTTATTCTTCAAATTATTTCTTGTCTGTGACAACGATATTAGAGCATTCTGCAAGGAAACAATAATGGAAACTGTATTTATGTAAGTACTAATTATTTCTTTCTATATTTTTAAATAGTACCTACGTCCTCTACTACGTACGTCAGGTGTTATTCCTCTGTACCCTGTAAATTCACGCCATATCCCACCCTTCAAACCGAAACACAGCCATGCAAACACAACTGCTTCACGGTTGAAACACGAATTTTGTAATGAGTGGGTACACTGATTGTCACATTCAGTTTGGTATCTACATTTTGGCATAATTGCGTATCTTGAAACAAGTTGTGCTCATTTTAATGTCCAGATTGGTGGTGGCGTGGTGGGCCGGGTCGTTGAGCTACCTATAATATGGTTGAACACAACGATGGCTGGCTCATCCGTCATACTCGTGAACGAGTGCTACTAGTAAAGACTGGTCTGTTCAACAACACTGTGATTGATTGTAGCTTGGTAGCTTTTTTTTCTTTTTATCAATTTGAAGTTTGTGACAGTCATTTTATCCTATATTTTATTTGAAAAAAAAGCACCATCTGTGTTGCAAGCCCATTTTTCTCAGCTGAAATTTCATTCCGAACTGGACGGTGGATTAACAGAAAATAACTATTCAAAAATGGTTACTATTAAGTTTAATTGAATAAAAAATATTTTTATTTTATTTTATTCTGCATGTACCAGCGTACTGATAATGGATTAGAATCCGCTTATAGAGAGAGATCCAGATATATTTTGTTACTGTTTTGTTTCGTCGTTCAGGTGTCAAAATTTACTTAAGGACGACCGGTAAGGCAAGGCTGGTCTTGACCGTAATGGTAACATATATTTATTTTATGCGTGAAGATGGATTGGTAACCCCGTCTACGCTATCGGTATACGTTGACGGGTCATCAGTGAAGGGTGACAGGTGAGGATGATAACAGGTCAGTAGGCAGTTATAGTAGGTAGTTATAGTGATCATATGAACAAAAAATATATATAAAAGAATACACCCTGTATTCTTAGTAATGAGGTTGTTAAACCTCCTTACTAACCCTTAATCCCTACTCACTACTACTACCTTACCCCCCAAAACTGTAACATATTAGGCACGTACATCATCATCGTCGTCAGGTACGTAGACACGTGGCCGCGCTGCTGGTACACCGGTACGGCGCTTGAACGTCGCCGGTGCTGAATTGCCACGATACGGCGCCTCGAAGCGACGAGTTGCCTCGGGAGGCTGTCATATTTTTTTTTTATACAACTTAGAACGGCAAACAAACTGATGGCCCATCTCATGAAAAGTGGTAACCGTCGCCTATAGACATGAGCAGTACCACGGACATAACAGAGTATACTGTTTGGCCCATCATACCCCCCATGCGTTGCCATTCCTGAGGACTCAGGTGTTATGTACCCTGTAAATTCACTGCCATATCCCACCCTTCAAACCGAAACAGCGCCATGCAAACACAACTGCTTTACGGTAGAAACACGAATGGGGCAGACGTACCTAAGCAAACGACTTTGTACAAAGTCTCCCTCTGGTGAAGAAAGTTTTGAATAGATCGCTGTAACAGTCAGAGTTCTGAGACACCTTGCACCACTGACTCAAATCGATTACTTAAAAAAAAGGCCGTCAATGCATTGGCGAATTCCCTGGAATCGTCAGTGTCTATGGGCTGTGGTGTTCACTTGCCATGAAGTAAACCGCATGATCGTTTATCGCCCTTTCACAAAAGAAAATACATGAGACTTTTTTACCCTAATGATTATTTAGTTATTCTTTGGGTTGCAACTCTTTGGCATTTCTGAGGAGAGCCGCATTTCGGATTTTTTTTTTAATACACCTTAGAATAGCAAACAAGCTGACGGCCCACCTGATGGAAAGTGGTAACCGTCGCCTATAGACATGAGCAGTACCACGGACATAACAGAGTATACTGTTTCATCCATGATACCCCCATGCGTTGCCATTCCTGAGGACTCAGGTCTTATTCCTCTGTACACCTGTAAATTCACGCCATATCCTACCCTTCAAACCGAAACACAGCCTTCACGGTTGACACACGAATGGGACAGAGGTATCCAAGCAATCGACTTTTGTACAAAGTCTCCCTCTGGATTTACAGAGAATCGTCTCATATCCATTATCTAGTATACTTACTGCGAGCATAAACTTATGTCAATCCTTAATTTAATGATTACATCATCACCATCTTGATATCGGCTTGTAATTGTCCACTGCTGAGTATAAAGCTCCCCCTTGGGAAGTTTTACCAGTAGGGGTTTTGCCACGCTTGGCACTCGGGTTGGCAACAGTTAGGCTTTAGAGATGTTTTAAGAGGGACGTTTTAAGAGGCTGTCCATCACTCGCCCTCCCTTAATCGATTCTTACGACCACGGGAAAGGTTGGGGTGGCCTATTCTATGCCGGGACCACACGGTAAATGATTATATAACTAGAATCAATAGGTATAACGTAGGAACTAACTATATACATATATAATATTTGTACATACGTCAGGTTTGTTGGCACAATCGTCGGTGCTGTTGTCACTGAACAAGCTGAACACTATGCTATCTATCTCCTGGTTGACCTTACCGCCGTGACCAGCTTCCACTCCAGCTAGTTTTCGCGTGTTCATTGGCTTATTAATGTTCTGAATAAAATGAATATCTTTAATATTTAATTTTTACTTATTTTCACCAACAGTGTGAAGGGGCATATGTAGTCTTTGGTTATAATAACAGTATCTAGTATGGGGAGAGTCGGATGACTCTTAATAGAAACATTTCCACATGAGACAAATTCCTGCTATGTGAAGGTAGTGCCTTGGAATCGGATTTCTCATTATCTACATCTACACTAATATTATAAAGAGGAAAGATTTGTATTTTTGTGTGTATGTATGTTTGTAATGAATAAACTCAAAAACTACTTTGTCGATTTCAAAATTTCTTTCACCATTAGAAAGCTACATTCACCCTGAGTAACATAGACCATATTTATTTAATATTTAATTAAAAGTTTTATTTATTGTACTGGAACGCTAGCGCCCCTGCCTTGAGGAGGTGGGCGTTGATAGACACGACACAGTTATTTTTAACTAATGTGGCTGTTATCGTACACTACCCTACAATTGTAATTTTCTATGGTTTCAATAAATACATTTTAATTTAATTTATTTAGTCATCTTATAAATCACGTGTTGGTACGGTATAGAAAATTTTTTTTACAACACAGGGGCAAACGAGCATGCGGCTCACCTGATGGTTTTTTTTTTATACAACTTAGAATGGCAAACAAGCTGACGGCCCACCTGATGGAAAGTGGTAACCGTCGCCTATAGACATGAGCAGTACCATGGACATAACAGAGTATACTGTTCGCCCATGATACCCCCCATGCGTTGCCATTCCTGAGGACTCAGGTGTTATTCCTCTGTACACAGTAAATTCACGCCATATCCCACCCTTCAAAACATGGTAAGTGACTACCGCCACCCATGGTCACCCACAACACCAGCGGCATTGCAGGTGTGCTGCCGGCCTTTTAAAAAGGAATATGAACATTGAGGTTATCTGCTGCTATGTGGATGTCTACCTGAGGAGTGGTGACGGCAAGTTGTGTAGCGAAGGGTCGGGCATTGTCGTCGTGCTCGGGCGCTTCCCGTGGTTTAGGCGGCACCAGTGGCCGCGACAGCTGTTTCTGGATGTTGTCCATCGTGGCCTGCATGTTCTGGAATTTCTCTTGCAGACGCTCCTACAATATGCATGCAAGTATATTTTGCTTCTACCATCAGGCTTTTTCAGCAATAATGGCGTTAATTACAACAAGTATAATAAGTTCGTCTAATGATAAGCGGTCATCGCAGCCCCAACACATTTTCAAGGGGGGGGTGGGATTGTTAGTAATGGGTAGGTTAGTCCCCATCGCTATCAGTATACCTTATCAGGTCGACCTCTACGCGGTTCCCCGTGGAAACCATCGTGACTAATTTATCGTTGAATTCATCACGATGGGCTAATTGACCTGCCTTTTCCGCCTCCTCCTCTATTCTCACCTATCATCCCTTACTGGTGCCCCGTTAGTGTATACCGATAGCGTAGGCGGGGTTACCATTCCATTATCATTCATTAAAAAAAACACATTTTCAATACCAGAGCTGTTGTGCGTGTAGTCAATGCTCGTGAAGGTATCTAGAATCTACTCATAGCAAGCAGCAAGCAATAGATATATTTGCAAGTATCAGCCAGGCTGAGAAAATTAAATATTTTATTTTATTTTATTTTATACAACTCTTTATTGCACCATAAATAAAAATATACAATGACAAGTGAATAGTTCAAGTGAAATACAGTAACATAAATACAGATTGAAATATACACATAAAGGTACAAAAGGCGGTCTTATCGCTAGGGCGATCTCGTACAGACAACCTTTGGTTAAAGGAGAACAGATAGAAATGGGCAGAAATGGGCAGGTGGCGCAAGAGTGCCGTCGGAGATGTGGTGAGTGCGAAAGCGAACCCATGTCTCCGACATATGGCACCTCGAGGGTATATCGTCTGGTTTTTGGTGGGTACACCCCCACCTTACGGGGGGACTCTCACAGTACCCATTCACCTCCCACAAGGTGTATGGGTCTGCATAAAGCATTTTCTAGACGTTAAAAAAAAAAAAGGTGGCGCAAGAGTGAATTAATAATTTTTCGTGCATAAAATACAAAATTCATCATAAGAATAATTTAGAAGCGTTTACCACTGGACTAGAGGGAGACTGTACAATAGCCGTTTGTTTGGTCACCTGTGTTCCATTCGTGTTTCAACTGTGAAGCAGTCGTGTTTGCATGACTGTGTTTTGGTTTGAAGGGTGGAACATGGCAGTGAATTTACAGGGTACAGAGGAATAACACCTGAGTCCTCAGGAATGGCAACGCATTGGGGGTATCATGGGAGAAACAGTATACTCTGTTATGTCCATGGTACTGCTCATGTCTATAGGCGACGGTTACTACTTCCCATCAGGTGGGCCGTCAGTTTTATTGTCATTTTAAGTTGCAAAAAAAAAAACCTAGGTTCTTATAATGTACGTCATAAGTTTTTAGGGTTACGTGATAAGTATGCATGATCCTTTTGCATAGCTCTACGGGGTGCTGCATGTTATGTACTTACTTGTATATGTAACAGCTTATTTTACTATGTAGCAAGCAAATAAATATGATTTGATATTTCTAGTGTTGCAGGTGTCCATAGACTAGCCGTCGGAGACGTGGTGAGTGCGAAAGCGAACGAGGGTATATCGTCTGGTTTTTGGTGGGTAAACCCTTACCTTACGGGGGGATTCCCACAGTATCCATTCACCTCCCACAAGGTGTATAAAGCATTTTCCAGACGTTAAAAAAAATGTCCATAGACTACAGTTCAGTACAGACAATTCACCATCAGACAGACTGTATATCTGTTTGCCATCATTGAGATTAAAAAAAACTTGTTTAAGCACCTACCGTATTTAATAAAGAAAGAGAGAAGAACTGACTTTGTCAAATTTTACCTTCTCAGCTCGTATCTCCAGAATAATCGACATCTGCTTAGATGATTCTTCTTCTTTTTCCTGCAATGCATTATTAAAATAGTGTCGTTCAGTGTGCTGACTTTTGATACAATCGAACTGGGATTAAATTATAATCGAATACGCTTCAAATATACGGTAAGATAACGTCGCTTTCACATTTATTCGATTCGATCCCGATTCCAAAATCACCCGCCAGGACCTTGCGTTTATATCGTGTAGCGATGCCTACAATGTATGGAAACACCATAAATTTCACAACATACGTTTATTATCGAAACGGAATTACATTTTGAATGCTAGGCGTAAGTGCGTGAACAAGTGCGTCGCATAGAGACGCTCCAAGAGCAGAGGGCCTACCATGAAATGTTTTCCGAAATTTCGGGTCCGAACGAAACGCAAATTTGATGTTCAAATTACATGATACGTACCGTTTAAAAATATTAAAAATGCTAAAGTATCGTTCCTTTGGACTTTTATGATAGGATGTATAACGAACGAAATGTTAAACTCTATTTATTGATCCGATTTTGGTATAAACAAAAACACGAAATTGAGTCCGAAATTTCGGAATTTCACTTCATGGTAGACCCGCAATTTCGTAACTGCCAGCGTCGGCGCCGCCAAGTTAACGATAACGATACCAAACTATGCTTATAAACTATTGTGTTATCAGTGCATGTAAAGTGCTACGATACGATGAACATTTCAGATAGAATATGTCAATCATGCTTTTGCTGAGTATTTTTATTTTCTCACCCTCAGCAGTACTTCAAGACGCTCAACTTGCTGGGCGTGCTTCCTGTCCTTTTCTCTCCAGCTATCTTTCTCAATTTCCATCTCTTTGCGCAGTTTATGTAGCGCAGTCTCCAGCCTGGCGCTGGTGTCGACAGCCCCCGTCACCTCACACATCAGCTGCGCTATTGTTCCAGCTTTGCTGTCCAGCTCTTTGTCTTTGCTTTCTATAGCCTCAATTAGTTCTGCGATTCTGGCGTCACTTGCATCTCTGGATGATAAAATATATTTTGCTTTTAAAACTTGTATTGAGAATCTAATGTTGTGTTTATGTAATATTTCAACAACAGAAAGAAGCCTGCTTAAAATACATGGAGTCCTTGATGACCATAGACAAATCGACCAATATCAAGGTGATGACTATGTTTTATGAATAAATAAAAAGAATATTTAAAAATTTTTATATATTATATATTTTATATTACTGCAAACATACATTTTTGACAAATATATAGGTATTTATATTAAAAAAAATATTTTGAAAAGATACCTGTGGAATGAGTTATATGTCTTTGGATTGCTATTACAAATTGAAGTTAACATACATACATATCTGTCACGCGTGTCTCCCGTTAGGGTAGGCAGAAACAATGGAACGCCAAATGCTTCGATTCAAACAAACCTCTTTCGCTTCTTTCACATTCATCAATCTTTTCATAACGGTCGCCAGTTACGGGCATTTTTAAATTGGCCCTTCTTCAGCACGTCGCATATTTGGTCAACATACGTCCGTCTAGGGCGGCCCCTACGGACATCTCCATTCATTCTTGCTCCATAAATCTCTTTCGTAATTCTTCTTTTATCCATCCTCTCCAAATGACCAAGCGAACGCAACATTCCTTTTTCGATTTTTGTCACTACATCGTCTTTCAGTCCACACTTCTCTCTAATCACACTGTTTCTTACTCTATCTTTTAATGTAATACCACACATACTTCTCAGAGCTCTCATCTCTACAGCATTTATCTTACTTTCATGCTTTTTCTGCCATTGAAGTTAACTATGTAGAAAAAGAGTGTTAATAAGAAATGACTGTTTCCAACATAACCAGCTTTAATTATTTTAACACTATGTTGATTATTGGAATAAAGATACTTGTGAGTTTGAAGGTTGGTATGCAGCAGCTCGATGCTTGCGGACAGTTCAGCCACGCGTGCCTCCTCAGCGTTGTTCTTCGCCGCACTGCTTTCTAGTTTAGATAACAATTCTACCTTCTCCGTTTCGATATTGTTCAATTGTATTTGCAAATTATTTATTTCGTTTTCTTTCATAATTATTACCTGCGAATGTTGTTTCATAAAAATGATTAGGTATTTTTATTAAAAAGATCATAAAATGTTAACAAAAACTAATTCTACGCATTCGAAATAGCGAGAAGAATGCACACATTTAGTGTTACAAAAAGAAATTAAAATATCTCACAGCATGTTTGTCATCGACTTCTTTTTCTACCTTCTCAATTTTATCTTGCATTTTCAAAATTTCGTCATTATTATTAGCAATTGTTACTTCGGCTTCCTATGAAATGTCAAAAAGTGCTCATTTAGCCTCCATATTTACTTTTTGCTTTATTTTTTTATTTCATTTTGCAGAGCAAAATGTATAATGTTAAAAAACTTAAGTACGTACTTCAAGTTTGCGCTGTAACTGGTCGGTATGTCGTGCGTTTGCAGCGTAGCGCTCTTCCACCGCGGCCAGTTGCTCTTGCAGTTGTTCGTTTTGTTTGCGCACGCTCTCTGTGAATGCCTCTTGGTTGTTCAGTGCCCGTTTCAGGGCTTCTATCTCCTCTAGCGCTTCTTTTAAACTAAACAAAGAATGGTTTTCCGCTGTTATTGATAGGAATGGTTTGGAGAACATTTTTATTATATTTGTTATAAAAACCTAACTCTGGTTTGCTTATACACAGAATGTGGACGCTTTCTTTTTCACACATATATCTAGTTTGATTTGTTAGTTTAAACTACCTATTTATTACTCTTTCTTCGACTTCTACATCTTTCTGTCCAAATTTTTTAAATCCGTTCAATAGTTTACAATAATAAAGAATTTCCTTATTTCCAATATGAATATAGCTTCCTTACTGTTCCTCTTTCTTCGTGTAAGCACTCTTCATCTCGTTACTCTGGGTGCTGAACTCGTTCAGTAGCTGCTTCGTATCCTTTTGAAGTTGTACAAGAGATACATCTTTCTGCAAATAAAAAGAGAAGGAGTATAATAATATGTATAATGCAACTGCTTAGCTGTCCAGCTAGTACATTCAAGTTTTTAATTAAAAAGACTGCTGCATCATTTAAAGAAAGTTTCCAATTGATTTTATTTATATTTGATTGTACTTTTTTTTATACAACTTAGAATGGCAAACAAGCTGACGGCCCACCTAATGGAAAGTGGTAACCGTCGCCTATAGACACGAGCAGTACCATGGACATAACAGAGTATACTGTTTCGCCCATGATACCCCCCGTGCGTTGCCATTCCTGAGGACTCAGGTGTTATTCCTCTGTACCCAGTTAATTCACATTGTACACATTGATAATACATAAAAATATGACAGAGGTAATCAAATGTACAAAGGCGAGCTGAACTCTAAAAGAGTTCTCTTGCGGCAACACCCAAAGTAGAAAGGAGCATCAATGTCAGCGGATGGAGCCGTGTACAATATTGGGACAATTTTCAAACAAAAGAAGTAGATTTGTATTTTTTTTAATGTAACACGATATTTTTAATGGTGATAAATCAATTTCAGATGATTTTTTTTTTTCAAATAAAATAAGATCATGTAAACCATTTGTCGTACACTACCCTACAATGTAATTTAATAAAAAAAAAAAAGAATATGGTTCCAATAAATACATTATTAAACAATAAACTGAGTTGTAACCCTTATGGCACCAAAGGAAGAAAAAAAAGTTACTTTTGTTCAAGTGCAATAAAAAAAAATCTAAAAAAAATAATCTTAATACAACATGGCTGTAGGTGATCCAGGTCGAGTAAAATGCTCGACTGAAAAAGGAAACAATTTAGCACTTACCATGTTGAGCTCTTGCTTGACTTGCTCTAGCTGCTTGCGTAGTTCGACTACAGCAGCGGACGATTCCTCCTTCTGAGCCTGTGTCGTCGCCAGTTTAACTCTTGTATCGTTTAGTTCACTCTCTATCTTTTGCTTCGACTCGCTCAAGTATTGTATCATTTGGTTTTGGTGTCCGTTTGTTAGTTTTGCTATAAAAAGTATAAAATTGTCAATCATATTCAATACGTCTCCGAAGTGATCAAGTCGATTGCTTGGGTACCTCTGTCTCATTCGTGTTTCTACTGTAAAGCCGTTGTGTTTGTGTGGCTGTGTTTCGGTTTGAACGGTGGGATATGGCGTGAATTTACTGGGTACAGAGGAATAACACCTGAATTCTTAGGAATGGCAACGCATAGGGGGTATCATGGGCGAAACAGTATACTTTGTTATGTCCATGGTACTGCTCATGTCTATAGGCGACGGTTACCACTTTCCATCAGGTGGGCCGTCAGCTTGTTTGCTATTCTAAGTTGTATAAAAAAAAATTAGTGCATTTATTGACGTTATCTTTAGAAAAATTCGATATGAGAGGCTAATTAAAAAATATCCTTCTTTAGAGATACAATTTGGATCAGGATTATACTGAAGTTGCAAATAAGCATACAGCCCACTTGATGGTAAGCGGTTACCGTAGCCTATGAACGTCTGCAATATCAGAGACTTTAAGTGCACCTTGCCGATCCTGAAAAACCCTTTTAGCTCTTTTTTGAAGAACTTTTGATTAGCAGTTGAAAAATAGGTAAATTTCTGCGTATTGATTAAATGTTACTGAATAAAGAATGGTACGAAATTATCAGTGAAACGATTAGAAATTATTGTGATCCTGATATCAGATTTAGACATCTCTCACATTTTTGACCCTTGTAGAACATAAACGTGAGACATAATCTGGAGAATCCAATCGGTGAACATCTAGTGTCACAGCTCGGAGTACCCAGATATGACCAGATTTAGAAAGGTTCACATAAAGATCGTAATGTCAATTTTGGTAACGGTCTTACAATATTTTTGCTACTACGGGGCCAGCTAAAGCGTCATCAATTTCAGATCTTTGCAATTTCATTACTTTTTTTTTATACAACTTAGAATGACAAACAAGCTGATGGAAAGTGGCGACCGTCGACTATAACATGAGCAGTACCATGGACATAACAGAGTATACTGTTTCGCCCATGAAACCCCCTATGCGTTGCCATTCCTGAGGACTCGGGTGTTATTCCTCTGTAAATTCACGCCATATCCCACCCTTCAAACCGAAATACAACCATGCAAACACAACTGCTTCACGGTTGACTTGCTTTATTACTTTACTTACCCTTCTCTTGTAGACTCTCGATTTTCTGACGGTTCTTTTCATTTAGCTGCGTTTGTTGTAACTTTAACTCGCTGACAACCTGACCGAACTTCTGGTACGCTTCGTAAAGACTTGTTTGGTCCGCTTTGCACCTGGCCAGGGTTTCTTTAAGCCGCTCAGTATAGTTTTCCAGCACATCACAGATCTCTCTAGTGCTGCTCAATCTGCATTATTGGCATTGAGATTTTAGAATTTCAGGATAGAATTGTAATACAAAATAAAAAGAAAAAAATACGAGCATTTAAATAAAAGATATGTCTAGTATGAGTCGAGTCTACGTAACCCGAAAAATTTTCTGCATCGAAAACTTATTATTGCTAATGGTAAGTATTTTATTTATTTATTTATTTTACACTGTATTAACACCAAATAAAAAGAGAAATAACAAACATAGTAAATATTAATGAGAAGGCGGCCTTATTCATTAAGACAACCTTTGGGTAGAGGACATTGAGAAAAAGACAAAGAGTAAAGAGGTGGCGCACTATTATATAAATATTATCATATACAAACATATATAGATACATACATAGTACTTATCTATTCAAAGTATTTTTTTATTTATTCGTTAGTGCATGTATGTGTACATGGCGGACTTAATGCTGAAAGCATTCTCTCCCAGTCAACCTTAGGGAAGTGTCAGAATACAGGGATGGGATACTAGTAATAATAAATACATACATACTACATACGTAAACTAGTTGTGTTTGTATGGTTGTGTTTTGGTTTGAAGGGTGGGATATGGCAGTGAATTTACAGGTACAGAGGAATAACATCTGAGTCCTCAGGAATGGCAACGCATGAGGTATCATGGGCGAAACAGTATACTCTGTTATGTGCATGGTACTGCTCATGTCTATAGGCGACGGTTACCACTTTCCACCAGGTGAGCCGTCAGCTTGTTTGCCATTCTAAGTTGTATAAAAAAAAATCATACATACCAAAAATTACATATACAAACAAATAAACATATATATGCCCAACAAGTACTGGCTTCCCGTGAAACGGTAAATGTAATCACTTAACTATAGACATGAAAACACAGACAGATTTTTTGGATAGATATAACAATAAATACTAATATAATAATATACACTTACGCTACCGTACGTACAGTACTGTTTTATATATATATATATATATATATATATATATATATATATATATATATATATATATATATATATATATTCTACGACTATGACGATATATATTTTGTTTATTTTTTAATGGATGATAATGAAGTAAGCCCGCCTGCGCTTATAGTATACGCTGGCGGGGCACCAGTAAGGAATGATAGGTGGATAATGAAAAAAGCAGGTCAGTCAGCCCATCGTTATGAATACACATGGAGTTCAGCTTGATGGTTTCTAGGGGGTACCACGTGGAGGTCGACCTGCCAGAGTATATTGCTAGCAATGAGACTTGTAGCCCGCATTACTTGTAATCCGTTCTCCCCTGTGTAGATATCTACGTGCAGTAATGAATCGTCTTGAAATATTTATTATGATTTCTTTTTTCATATTAAATATCTATGCATACTTAATATGAAAGTTACTTGTTAAGCGTGTCAGGGCGCAGTCTCAGCTCGTCCTGGTATTGGCCGGAGATAGCTTCATGTTGCATTTGTACTTCCACCATGTTTTGTTGCAATCTTTCATGGTTGCTTTCCACCTGATGCAACTTCTCCTTCAGATCCCAATATGCCGTATCCTGAGCAACCTATCATACAAGATAATAGTAGTAAATTGTTGTCTACCAAAATTATTACATTCTAGAACTAAGGGTTCTGTAATAATAAATAAATAAATACAACATTCGGTTTTTAATTACGTGCATTTTTATATACATTACCAGACTTTGCCCGCGACTACGCTTGCCTTTACGAGCAGCATTCGATTTTTCGCGGATATTGTTTGGAATCATTAGCCTAAATCTGAAAGTTCTCATGTCTAACTTCTAAACTGATGAAATTTTATACAAAATTCTAACGCCCACTTCTTTATTTAAAAAAAAAAAGTCCTGTCCATGCTACCTGCATGAAGAACTTATCTGCAATATTTTAAGATTTCAAACTCAGCTGCTTAGGCTGCGAGTTGATATATGGGTCAGTTTGTCAATTATTCAACGATCTTTTTAATACTTATGAGTAATCTACCTTTAATTTTATTATTTTTGCTGCTTCTCGAGACACTTTCTCACGGAGATTTTCAGCTTCCGTATTCAATCTTTTTCTGCTTGCCGCTTTAGTAATTTCATTAATATCCATATTTATTATAAAGATAGATTTTTAACTTTGAGTAGGTAATGATATTAATTTATTGGAAATTTGCCAATAAATTTTTCGTCTGTTTAACACTGAAGAATTAAATTTGGCGGGAATTGTGGAAATTCGGAATTTTTTTTTCTTTCTTATGGCACGGCACAAAGTGCATCCGCCAAAAACAAAGTTTGGGAAACAGCATTTTAGTAAAGGAGTTTTGGACGACGGAGATTAGGATAAGAATCAGAAAAGTTGAATAATGAATAATATAAGGAAAAGGACAGATACCTAAATAGATATTACAATATATTTAACCTTAAAAATATACATATATATGTAAAGTACATAAACAAAGAAAATTTGCAACTTAATATTATTGATAACAATAAAAGAGGAAATCAAATTATATACTTCTAAATTATCAAGAAACAATAATACTGGAACTGATGTAGGAAAGGGAATACGGAGGGAAAGGAGGGAATTGAAAAGAACAGAATGGTCATAGAGAAGACAATTTAGGAGAATGTGATTCAAATCACCCACATCTGTGCCACAATTGTACATATTATTGTTCACAATTTTTAACTTAGCCAAATGAGAAGGGGAACTCACATGGCCAAGTCTCATCCTAATAATAAAAGACGTAGCATGTTTATTAATACTATTAATACGGTAAAACCATGGTTTACAGGGAATATAGGCTGAATACTAAAGTAATGGCGGGCCTTAACTTGACAGCTAGAAATTCGGAATTTTTTTTTATAGAGAAAGTTACATTTTATACTTTAAGAGGCGGTACTATCATTATGATATCAATATAGAAATAAAAATTTATGTAACCACCTAGATATATCAATAGAACAACATAAAATAATATCTGTAGTGTTATGTAACTCTTTATAATTTGAATTTGTCAATAATATCTATAACGATAGATATCTTAAAACTTTGCTACTACATATTGTAAAATTTTAGGCAGAGCTCCGCTGGCTGTATTAGTTACGATCTACATGTACAACGGCGAAATGTAGACGAAATGAGAGAATTAGTAGGAAAATGAAAGTTCAATTTACAGTATATTATATGTTGTAAAAATTTTTAATGAATTAAGTCGGTTCCATAGATTTTACACAAACATTCTTTTGTTGGAAGTAACATGAGCTTGATTTTTTTAATATTGAGATATTGACCAATAAATTATATAATATAGTCAAATCAGAAGTTACGTTACATATTTTATTGCCTTAAAACCACCTCAAAACTCAATGCTTGTGAATTAAAGACTAATTTATTTAAGCGTCTAAAACATTCATCTATGAATAAGCAATCATTATAATTTCCTTTTCGTTCAAAAATAACGAATACTATTACTTAATCTATGGACTTCTTACAGCTGCCAAATTGTCAAGTGTCAAAGTCAGTTGAAAATTCACTGAGCTGAAGAAAACTAATTATTAATTATAGAACGTAAAAGGTATTTTTATTATTTAATATTATTTAATTTATAATGATTTAATCAAAATAATAAAAAAATAATCATATTAGTTTGTATTAAATATATTTGTGAAATATCTGACGGCTATTTGTTTTCCAGTTATGTAACTTAGTAAGGTTATCTTTATAATTTCTAGATGATCGGCTCATCCCTTGTTACTGGTTTGCGGGCGGCACGTTCCTCGGTCGTGTTCACGAGGAACTTGGCGGCGGCTCCTAAGGCCGTAGACCCTATCCAGCAACTTTTCTTGGACAAAATCAGAGAGTACAAACAGAAGAGCTCGTAAGGACATTCTTATTAACTTGTACCTTTTACCCTTTAATATTATGTATTACCTTATTAGCAACAAAATAAATACTATTATTACGTTATTGAATATACATGAGATATTTATAGGCGACGGTTACCACTTTCCATCAGGTGGGCCGTCAGCTTGTTTGCCATTCTAAGTTGTATAAAAAAAATTCCTAGCATAAAACTGTTGAAATTTTTGACATACTACAGCTACAATCGAGTCTTAAGTTGTTTTTAAATCATTATAGTCAGATCATTGAGGACAGGATTTTCTTCTTTAAAAAAATTGACACCAATCTGGCCAAAATAATTTGGGACTAACAGGGGAGTTGAATCGGTCATCTGAATAGACTAAGATATTGTCCTACATAATATTTGCTTACATAAAATACAGTTCAAATGACAGTTAAAACTTCTGTGTCTCTAAATTCAAATAGAAGTATTATATTGGAATTGATTCAAATAGATATATATTAGGTGAATTATATGTATCAGTAACATTAGAAAATAATAATTAATTTATACATAATTATAATGTGTTCTAAATGAAAGTAATATTCTGTCAATATTCCCTTAAAATTCACAGTTTTTATTACTTTTCGTGGTAAATTATTATGCATGAAATTAAATTCTTCTACATTATTTAATTAAGTCTAGAATTAATTATTTTAACAGATATCATAATATAATACAAAGTGTTATTCCTATTTTTACTGCAATAAAATTATTAACGAATATAAAAGCTCGTTGTTGGATTTAAATTTTAGAAATAATTCTGTGGAAAAATGGGTGAGCATTATTTCTAACTTTGTGTTAATATTTCAGAGGTGGAAAATTAGTCGACCCAAGTCCATCAATCGAACGGGAACTCAAAACAGAACTAGAGAAGTTGGAGAGACAATATGGTGGTGGTTCCGGTGTGGACATGACTGCATTCCCCTCATTCAAATTTGATGAACCCAAACTGGACCCCATTGATGAACAGGCCCCGCAAAAGTGAAGAGTTTGATGAAAACCATAGTTAATTTATACAGTAATTTAAAGGAAATGTCTAATGCATGCATACATTGTATATGTTCAGTAATTTTGATGAATAAATTATTGTATTAGGCAGTTTGGTATTTATTAATATTATTTTGTTTATAAGCTTTTTTTTATACCTCTGAAGTGACAAACAAGCATACGGCCCATATAATGATAAGTGGTTACCGCGTGCATTGCCGACCTTAAAGAAACTTCTTTACTCTTTTAAGATCGGCAAACCCAAAGGTTTCACTTTCTTCCTTCTACTTGTGATAATCCATTATATAATCACTCGACTTGTTTCAATAAGTATACAGTTCATTCTGCGAGCTTTGCTCAGCCATATCACTTATTTGTCATGTTAAAGCTATTTTTGATATTTATGGCCATGTAGGTTTTTATTTAAATTTTATAAACTAAATGTAATGGAAATTGTTAGTACATAGGTAAAACAGTTGTTACTAATTGTGATTTTTTTTAACATACGTATCTAATTGATCTTATCATAAGGTCATGCTCTTTCATAGTAATAATTATCTACAAACATTATACAGCTGTCGATAAAAACGAAAAAAGCTTTTTCTATTTTATAGAGTTAGAAATATTCTTGGATTCATTAACATTAATATTATTAAGTATTATTTTAATATCCAGACAAAATTATTATGAAATATACTGTTAGAAAACACCGTCCAGTGTTAATTCCGCCATATGTACATAGTTTCACTGTGCTAATGTTTAAATAAATAATATACAGAAGTATGTTTATAGTTACAAAAAAAGATATAAATCGTTTGATAGTAAACAGTTAAGTAGATATTTTTTACAAATACGAGAATTTACAATGTACTTCTGTATCTTTTTTATTTTGCATATTACATTTACACGCATTTATTGACGGCCCTTTGCCACACCACAGAATATGTAATAGTTCTTTGTACTCGTAAATCAATTTTTACGTAGTCTCTAAAAATAAATAGGGAGTTTGAGTAGTGTGAGAGGAAAGTTTTATTTATGTCACGCAATATTTGTTGGTGGTAGCGTGTTTAAAACAGAGGTAGCGAGCGAAAGGATTCAAAATCGTAATATTCAGCGACGCCTGATACAGTTGAATAGCAAATAGTGTATTAGTAAATAAGTATTTAATAGTTCTACAGGCGTTTATGTCTGATTTCCGATTAATCAAATGGGTAGTTTTTAAATTAATTATTAATGAGTAATTACAACCAGATCGTATAAATCTTGATTAGAATGCATTTTTTTTTTTAAGTTTGTTCATATATTTAGTGTGGGTAAGAGCGTGTTTAGCATCTCGTTCACTCGCACGTTATGGTTGTCGGCTAGCCTCGTGTTTGGCCCTCATACATTCCAGCGATTACTCCAGTCGCCACGCCACGCCAGTGACGCCAGTCAGTAAGCAACAGCGGCTAACAGTGTACGCGCTGTGCGTCACGGCTCCGTGTATGACACTATGGCTGCCGGTTTCGTCGGCTCCACAAAAAGTTTTCCATTCTCCTTCGATGTAGATGTGGATGAGGAAGATCAGGGTCGTAGAACCCCACACCTCAGCAAGCGTATAGGTGAGCATAACAGGATTTTCATATGAAAACAAACACATACCTACTGTTCTACGTACATGAAATAGACTGTGTTTACATTTTTTTTTTTTGTCTAATTAGCTTTTACTATTTGCATATTATATACTGACCTACATTTTTTTTTATAATTACATTATTTTATCTACCTACTTATTTTATTCAAACATAAGACATTAGTTTAAGTTACATTTAATTCAGGTATTTCTTTTGTGTTTACTTACTAAAAATTGTTATTGTTCATTAATTAAAATTCCACGACAATTCTTATTGTTCTTTTAATTCCTATTACAAATAAAAAAAAAAAAAAAACTTTACAAAGCAGTTATTTATACTAATTCTAAATAAGCTAGTTTTATAGCAATGGCGTTTTAATATGCTGCTTTTTATATGACCTAATTATACCTACGTATCTAGTTATGAATTAAATCATACATAATAATTAGGTATATAATACCTATTGCTATTCAAATGGAATGCAACGCCTCATCTCAAGGCCGGGCTTCACAATACACGTTCTTGGAATAATAACACAGTCGTCAGCTGTTTCTATACATATTTAGGTATACGGGGCAATAAGGGAACCCTCTCCCTACTTATAAGCCGACCAAATACACTCGTCAGCCGTCTATTTGCGAAATACTTGAAAAAGAGCACTTTTGCAATCGGCTGAGTAGCTGGATCGATATCCTGGCGTCAGCTGAAGGTGTTGCGGTGTCCGCATGTGAAAACACTTAAATTATATAAGTACACAAACGATGTTTTGGTTAAGCTATTTAATAAATTGTAAGCAAGTGCCTGGGTAACTAAATACCAATCAAATCAGAGATCGATTTCTTCCAATTAGAATTTTACTAATACAATATGCATAAGTATTATTTTACTTTTATTTTTATGAATTACATTTTAATTTTTGAAATCTAAAAATCATATAATGTATATACATAATAACAATAATTAGGAAATTATTAAACTTTTTTATATGTCTAGCGTTTATTTATTAAATAGTTTAAAATAGATATATATGTTCAGACTCGGAATATGTTGTTTTGTGCTCTACCGCCACTTAGCTGGTCCATTTTTTTTAATTATTTAAAGGGTATTTACCCTATCTTGCAAATAAGAGTCGATTTCGGAGTATAGTGTAAACAAATAAACACGGAATTTTTACATGACTGGCTAAAAAAGGAGTATAAAATTTTTAAGATTATAAGTTTTTTTATTCCATCATAACTTCAAAATGCCAGAACAGATTTGGATGTATTGGGTATTAATAGAATCTTTATATCATGCCGAGTTACATTGTCTATAATTTTTTTTAAACAATTATTTTGGCAGTGCAGTTGAATTTTTAATTTGTGTATATATATTGAAGACTAGTCATTTCCCATGACGTTGCTCGCTGTTAAGTGGAGTAAACCGCAACACATTAGTGAAAACTGCGTTTAAATTGGTTAAGCCGTGTTTTAGATTAGTGCGCACAAACGTACAGACAAACAGACAAAAAATTTTAAAATCATTGTTTTGGGATCTATTACGTTCATAAAGCTCCCCTATAATATGAAATGAAATGAATTTATTTTGCTAGAATGTGGGTAGTAGTAGTAGAATAGTTTTTCTTATATATCTTCCATCTACAGACAGCGATCAGTTAGGATTTTATTATATGTATTGATGATCATAAAAACTCATTCAATGTATGAGTGCCCGTTGGGTAGCAAAGGATTGCGAGGCGCTATAGAGCACGCTACAATGGCACGACTGCACTATTTAAAAAAAAAATCGATAAAAGTAATACGGCAGTAAATTCTTATAGATTGCAAAAAAAAAAATGAAAATTAGTCAGCAAAAGTGGTGAAAATATCGAGGCACATAAGATATAGAATATAAAAAAATGCCATAGATGAACTGAATAACTTATGTCACATATTTTTCGCCACATCTGCCCTTCATACGCTTTCTGTTTTTACCTAATGGTTAGCTGGTAGAGAATTCCATATGGTATTAAGCTCGCCATTTGTACAAAATTTTATTGCGCAATAAAGAATAAATAAAAATAAAATATAGATTATAAAAAAAAAATGCTATAGATGAACTGAACAAATCATAATGAGAACTACTTCCTTGTTGGTTTATTTAAAAATAGAAGTGGGCACTTAAGATAAATTTTGATAGTACCGTTTTGAGTGCTTCAAATTGAATATATTAGATTTGATATGATTCTATGTATCATATATTGTTTGCTATAACTAAACAATGAAGATCTTTATTGTTTAAAAGATAAGGAAGTATAATTTTATTATTTATGGTAGGAATCTACCTCTAGATAATTTGCGGTTAAAATAATGTATAATAATAAAAAAATAAAGTTAAGATAATGTACTTATACAATCCTTGTACCACAGAATCAATATCAATCAATACATAGTATAAAACAAAGTCATCTCGCTGTCTGTCTGTCCCTATGTATGCTTAGATCGTTAAAACTACACAACGGATTTTGATCTGTTTTTTTTTTTTTTTAATAAATAGAGTGATTCAAGAGGAAGGTTTATATGTGTAATGTAATAAAGCGATACTGATAATTTCAGAGATTTCTAATGTGATGTCGTAAATAAACACTTTTTTGCACTTACATTGTGAACGCTGGCTAAACCCTACATAAATAAACCCTATGAGATCGATCAAAATAATGTACTACATAAATAAAAAAATATATACATTCGAAATTGTATTCTATAGTATATTTAGTATCAGCATTGCACCCGTGCGAAGCCGGGGCGGGTCGCTAGTATAATAATAGAGGAATATTAGTAATATTTCGTACTTGCAAAGCGGCCTAATTAGAGCGGATTAATTAGTATCTGAATTTGGTAGGGTTATACGGCCGTATAACATTTTCTATACACTAGCCTGCTATGAATTGTCAATTTTATCAATCCTTCTATGTAATTCCTTGTTTTTAGTTTACTCTACGCAATAAAGAAAAAAATATAGCAGTAATGTATTGTCTATGGTGATATTCAAATTGAAGGAGGCATACCTAGTATTAAAACCAGACAAATAAAAAGTAAAACCATAGCTTAGTAACAGATTCTGTGGTAACAGAGGCTTAGTCTGTGGCATAGTAACGAAATAATTGATTAGGGTATACATAGGTACATTGATATGTTCATGTGTGGCGCCGGGTTTTACTTATCAGATAGTATATAAGTAATTATTATGAGATTACATAATTAAATTAAATAGTTGCGATTGTGATCTATTGTTTTTATGGGTGATGAAGGAATGGTGAACTTTCTTGAGCTAACAGTGTGTTTTTGAGGCATTATAGAAGAATGAAAAGTTGATGACCTTGACTCACTTTATATGTCGTAATGCATCCGAAGAAATGAGGATAATGTTTCTAGAATATTGAACTTGGGCTAAAATGATTTGAATAAGCATGGATTATTTAATAGAAATTTGCTGGAACAGATAAAACAAGGCCTTTCG